TGTGAAGCATGCTCGTCCGGCGACGACTGCATCAAGAAGCCCGACTCGGTCGAAGGCGTGCCTGTCTTGGAGAAGTCGCTCCCTCCGTCCGCTTTTACCACCACCGTGGTCCCTGCCACGACAACCACCGCAGCTCCCACCACGACTACCGCAGCTCCCACTACGACGGCGTTGAAGACGGTTGTCACGCATGCTGCCGGCGGCAACTCGGCATCTGCCGCTGCTCTCTCGAGCGTGCTCGCGGTCGCGTCGATTGCGGCGGCGTTGTATGTGTAGACATAAATCTTAACTAGTCCCAAACTTGTTCAAGGTTCGTGTCTGGAATGGCATGTATCGTCGTCGTTAGCGTTTGTTGGGGTGGTGAACGTAAGCCCAGTCGCCCGACTCGTCCCGTCGCTTGAGTTCGACGGTAGGCCAGTAGTGGTAATCTGTCTTTAGCGTCACGACCTTGGGCTTGGTGTTGAGCGAGATCGTCTTCATTCGGACACTGTCGCCGTTGCGCAGCCCTTCGACCACTCGAATGAATGCGTCCAGGGTCGGCGTCGGTTCGTTGTTGACTTGGACGATCCACATCGTGGCGCGGAGACCATACTTGTGTGCTGGGCTGCCGTAGCACCATCTCGAGCAGTACACGCCGCCGCCTTCTTCGGGCATGTACCCCAGACTCACGACGGCGTAATGCGGTTCCTGAATCACCAGCCCACACCACACAATGACGCGGCTCGTTCCGGTTCCAGACAACTCGAGCGTCTCGACGTCCAAAGTGAGCTCTTCGTGCTCACGAAGCACGACGACGCGCACCGTCGTCTTGCCCATGCACAGCTTTTCCACGTCAAAATCTTTGGCGACGACGACGCCATCGATGGACAGGAGAAGGTCGCCGCTCTGGAGTTGGGCATACGCGTTTGTGCCTGCTGCACATCGTTTAATTGCAAGGACTTGTCGCTTGTCATCGTAGCACTGCTCGAGCGTTCGAATCCAGTGCGGCGAAAGGCCGAGCCCAGCCCTGGCTTTCGACAGCGGGTACGCGTACAACTGAACCGGGAGAACAGCGACTGTCCGCGGGCTTTGACCCGCTTGAAAGGCTGCAACAACCTCGCGAACGACATCGGCCGCAATGCCTCGAAAGACTTCACGGCGACCGCTTTCATCTTGGTAGCTAAACGACAGCCACAGCGCCGTGACGAGACCAGCTGCGTCGACAAAGATGCCGCCGACGCTCTTGGTGATGCGGTCGAAATGGAGCACTTCCACGTTGCTGGCTTTGTATCGAGGCGGCTGAAAGTCGCGTAGGACGAGGCGATCAATCTTCGTCACTAATGACTTCATCGCCACCACCGTCCACGTGCTTGTGAGCCCAACAAAGTCGGCTTGATCTCCGACGTGGAGCACTTCGTTCGACAAGCGCGCACTCTCGAGGTGTGTTTCGCCCAGTAGCGCCGGGTTGTACTGGATGATGGCAAAGTTGTGAATCGGATGGACAAATCGAATCTTGGCCGAAATCTCAATTGACGCGGCAACCGTCACGACAACGTCCCCCAAGGCAATCGGGACTGTATTCTGGTCCACGAGGACAAGTCCTGCGGTGGAATCGATCACGATGCCGACGCCATTGTAGCTCGAGCTCGAGATGCCATCGATCATGTGGGGAATGTCGAACGCCACCATGACTAACGACGACAGGAGGCGCGTTAGCATATGCTTGTCGACCTCGGAGCCGGTCCCGGGCACACGGAGGGGTGCCGCTGGAAAGGCTGGAATGGCCGGTACGTCGGCGACGGGCGGCACGGGATACTCATGGCAATGCCACAGCCCATCCAAGTCGTTCCGAGTATAGAGTTGCATAGGAAACCACTGGCGATCGATGGTGAGGACCGCGCTGCGGACGCGGTGACGGTCGCGTGTGAGGAAATACCGCATGACTGTGCGGTGGCCATTCGGCATCTGCTGGATCGTCTCGATGAACGCGTCCAACGTCTCGGTTGGCTTGTTGTCCAGGGACACGATGATGCATGGCTGGGCAACGTGCGCCTTCATCAGCATGTGGCCGGCCTGCGCGAGGTACACGGCGCCGACTGCCAACGACGCGTTGCGCGCTTGTTGGTACGAGAGCGAATGGATAATGCAGCCGCCGACTTCGAGGAATCGGCTCGGTGTGATCGTATGCAAATCCTAGCCACAAGTTAGTCGCATGGAGCTCTGTAAGCTGAGAGTACCTGCACTCGGAGTTGCACAGTGAGCGGAGTGCCACCGCGCTGGACTTCGACGGCAATGTCCTTTCCAACGTTCGAGTCCAGAGTCTCCTCCAAGGCGAGGAAGGTCGTCTCATGTCTGCCTTCGATCCGGACGACGACGTCGCCTGGCTCGAGATGGCCAAAGCCCGGTCCCTTGGGGAGGACTTGGTCCACAGTTAGGAGCCCTGTTTCGTGTGGAAACCGCGTGCGGAATTCGGTTTCGACGTTAGCCGTGAGGCCGAGCTTCCGCACTTCGTCGTACGCGGCATGACGGAAAATGGTTTGCCACGTGCCGCGGGGAATACTCAGGCCATTCTGAATGCAGCGTAAGGCGCGCACGGCTCGATCTAGTGGAAGGTAGTAGGATGATGCCGCGCGCTTGGCACCTCCCGCGTTCAAGGCAATGGCCGACCCCTCGATGTTGAGCACGGGCGAGCCGCTAGACCCACCACTCGTGGACGACGCTGCTGCGTAATAGAACGTGTTGAAGTCATTGTACCCGTTGCTACCGTAGTTGGGGGCTTCTCGGTCCAGCTTAGCGAGAATACCAGGCAAGATGGACAGCTTTTCCCCAGCATCGTTGCCCACCACCCGGATTTCGACGCCGACTTTGGCACCGCTGGGATCGATAGGGATTTCGTGCAGTGCGAGGAATTTGACGCGCGATGGATCGAATCGATAAAAGCCAAAGTCGTGGACTGGGTCACGGTAGATGGGCACGAGGTCGACTTCTTCCTTGTTTACAAAGATCGCGTCTGCAACAACTGGCCCCGGCGTGACCACATGCCGGTTTGTCAAGATGAGTCCTCGCTTCTTGTCCACGACAAAACCAGTCGCAACAGAGAATGATGCGGCGTCCCCGTCAAACGCACGCACCGACATGAGTCGAATGATCACGATGGCAGGAATAGCTCCCTCAAGGGAAGCCAACCATCGCCCTCCTTCTGGAGTGGACGCCAAGACAGGTCCGGGCGCACTGTGCTCGGGTTGCTGGTCGTCGTCCTTGTCTTCGACTTCCTGCATCGGACCAATGTCCACCTCCTCCATTGCGATCGATTTTGGTCGTGGATGCACTTTTCCACCGCAGATGCACCGCTAAACCTGGTCGTGGGTGGGGGGGGTGGAAAAAGCATTGTAAAATGAAATCGAATTAAAATTTCACGCGTTGGTCGTAATTGACTTTGAAACAATAATATCACCATCATCATGTTTAGCTGTAACATTAAAAATTTATATGACCCCCCCCACCCCAAGCAGCAAGTAACTTGGTCGAGATCTTGTGCCATTCGACGAGAATTCAACGTGGACATGGAAGGCGACCGTCGTGGCCATCATGTGCACGGAGTGAAAATACGGCTGCGATCATGGAGCGGTGTCCTTTTGTACTGGGCAAATAATGGCAAGTCACGTTCATGAGGGTGGCCACGTGAAGTGCTACGGCAGTGCGAGCGCCAGTGGCTTTGTGTTTGAATTTTCAGTTTGGGCAAGACCTCCTCGATCAGGGGCCGTTGCCGGGGGCGGATCGATCGGGCACGGGGAAACACGAAGAACTGCTCACAAGCAGCTCCGTGCGCCGTGTCGTGGACGCTCGAGGGTGTGTTCAACGATGGAAGGCGCACGTTGAGGATGAAGAAGGGAGGTAAGGAAATATTTGACTCTTCATTTCGCATGACAAGCAGCACCCCCAGCACATGAATGGCATATTGCAGGTGGGGAATTCGACTGCACCGATGTCCTTCCAAGCAACGGGTTTGCGAAAACGAGTGTATGGAATGCTCCGAACGAAGGGCTACTGCGATGAGATTGCGCCACACAGCTCGTTCAAATAACGGCAATGGAAAGCGAAGGGTTGATGGAATCGGACATTGCGCATCCAGGCCAAAACAAAGATGGGGGAGGAGGACCCCATAAGCACCACGAAAACACCGCTATCATCTAAGAGCGAGATTGCGATCGTTCACCGATGGATCGGCCCACCTGTTGCAATGCTAGCGGTGTGTTCGTAGGTGCCGCCACGAGATTCTACGTGAGGTCATGGTGGCACCCCCTCCTCCCTGCCGCAAGAATTCGAGTGTCTCTGTAGGGGTGATGTCGGTGCTTCCCGCACAGAAACCTCGCGCTCCGTGCCAAGGAATTCGCTTGTTGCGTCGGAGAATCCGCAGCATCTGTGGAGCGAATGCACAAACGCACCGACCAATCACATCGCTGGAATGGCTTCGTGTCAACGTCTCACCAATCCGGATAAGACAGTTTATCCGGGAGGAACGCCCCGCGCGATTCGCGTGGCCGAGAATGTCGGGTGAGCCGGATAAAACGTTTTATCCGGACGTGGCCTGGGATGGTCGAAAGAACGTTCTTCATGAAACAGACCACATCGCGCGACTCGTTTCATGTGGGTATACAAATATCAAGTCTAATTTCGCTCGGCGAGGTACCCAATCCAAAGTGCAAGTTCAACGTCAACCCGACCCCCGCCCCGGCCTCCTTTTCGAGAATTTGAATGAAGGTTCCCGTGGCAGGGCGGAAATTCACTTGGTATTTGTATACCTACCACGTATTTTTAATGCAATCTGGTCGCTCCAACATTTACACCCCATTTGCAATTTCCAAGTTGGGAGTACACGTGGGCACAGGCGTTCAAGCGTGTTCTCACTCGACGTCCCCATCTTCCCACCCGTGCCACGACGTCCGCCGCCGCTATTTCCACAATTCCTGTCTACATGTGCCGCGTTCCCCGTATGTCTTCGTCCAAAGTAATGTCAATTCCGTCCCTCTGCCACCCTGGCAACGACCCTGTCGTATCGACAGTTCGCGGGCCCATGCACTCCCACGACCTCACGAAGCGTGACCTTTTCAAGAAAGTCACATCGGTACGCAAGGGCCTGCTGCACATTCAGCAATGCCACGACCATCACAACTGCGACAAGGCGTTGTGCAAGTCGACCAGGCGCCTCGTCGACCAATATCGTACCCACGCGTGCATTTCCCGTAGCAATAGTATCTCCAATAGCCCCAATAGTCCGTCGTTAGAAACCTCCACAAGCCCACACAAGTGTCAAGTGTGCATGCTGTGGACCTTAGTCACAGGCAACCCGAACATCATCGTGTAGGCCGAGTCCCGCCGTCCAGGCTTCCAAACACCCTTATTCTTAATTAAAACTACAACCCCAGCTCCACGAATCTAATGCAAGGTGAGAGTCGCTATCGCCTGCTTCGTCCTACCTTTGGTGTTGTTTCTCTGTGAGCGAAGTCATTGTCTCTTGGAAGGTCTTGTCGTCGTGGAAGTACAGCAACGCCTCTTGAAGGGCTTCGACCGTCACGTTGTATTTGGCCGCGATCCGCTCGGTGGTCGCTTGCGATGCGTCCAAGTAGAGCTTGGCGAGGCGCTGGCGCACCGCTGGATCTTGCAGGTCCGCGTTTTGTTGTTGCAACGACAAAACGATCGATTCCATGTCGCGCGTTAAAGTCGGAATCAAATCGTTCGCGATATGAACAACGACTTGGCGGGGAATTGGCGTGTCGGTCGGTTTCGGCCGACGTTGGGGACTCAAGCGTTGGCGAATGGGTTCACGGGATCCCGTGCATTCCCAACGCAACCTCCCGAGTTTTCGAATGTAGTCGCGGATAGCTTCTGCTTCGTCCTCGCGAAGCTTCAACTCCTGCGTCGATTACGTTAGATGCTGAAGGACTGGGCGGTAACGAACCCCCGACTCAATGCGGTTCATTGCGGCGGCCACTTGCTCTTTCGTAACGTAGTGGTTGCGAAAGACAGAGTCTTGCACTTGGCTGAGCAACGTCTCGAACGAATCGCTCATTTGAATCGCGCGCTGTTCAACACTCAATCGGTCCGCCTCATCCTTCGCATGCTCCAAGTCGATGTCGTGTGCTAAGGCTTCCATCAGTTTTTGGGCCAGAATTCGCATATTCGCGTCCACTTGTTCATACAACGCGATCACCTCCTCCACGCTCAACGGACGTCCCGAGTCGTCGCACAGCGTAGCTGCGGACACTCCGGCACTCATCAAGATGCAAGCTCCGGTGACCATCCATGGCAACTTAGACGTCGACCGAGCAGAATGTGCGGGGATTACAGATATCACGTGACTGCCACTGGTCGAATGGGGTGCATATCGATGAACCTTCCTCGCTGTGGAATGCATGCGAAGGCGTGCTTCAAGCGCTGGTAGAATGCGGCGGAACATATCGGTCAATGCTGCACCACGGACGCCGATAGGTTGGCCGCACAATGGCAAGCGAACTCTCCTCCATTCCAAATGGGAATATGGGTGGGTCCCCCCATCAATTCCCATGATTTCAGGACCCACCAGAAATTGAGGTGCATTCTTTCGCTTCCACATGTGCATCAGAGGCCAACATCCATTTATGACTTGAGCAACTGAATCGACGCTGGATACCAGATTCTGGCGCAAGCGGAGGGCAGGATGATTCGGCAGAAGTCGTGAAGCGCCCAATGTGTACTCTAGACCTTCTTCAGAGACTTGCGTAGGGTTATACCATGGCGTGGCACGTTGACGGAATGTCGGACGCGCAGTGGTGGATGTGGCACCCCAGCCGCATCGTGGAGGCTTTGTCCTGCGGGAGAAGCGCATGGCAAAGCCATGTCGACCTCTGATATTGATATATATCTATGCACGGATATGGTATCGTGGCCGCCGTGGCTGCATACTGCTACTATTGAACATCATCCAAGGGTCGAAGCTCTGCACGCTAAAGCTCATGCCAGTAGTTGGTCCAAGAAGCCGCGGAGGACGAGCTTCTCGCCTAACCGTACATTCACACAAGCCTCGTGCCATGGCTCCAATGTGGTTTTATGGTGTCGCAGCAGATCATAGTCGTCCTACCACGACGGTATGAAGAGAGGGGTGCCGACGAGCAATATGTCACCTCGGCAGTGGAAGGATATTTCGCGAGTCGCCTTTCGCACATATCTTTCACAAGGGCCTGCACGCGATGGGTATTCGAGTCCAGCCAAGGTACGGACGTTGGATGGCATTCTCGGTGGCGCAATTCATCGCTTGTGGCGACGTACAGCCGAAGCCAGTCCCAGTCGAGCTGATTTCTGGTCCCCGGCGCCGTCATGTGGATCGTGAAGGGCTAAATCGCATGCCATCAACCAAATTCGGAAGCTGCGAAGTGCCTACCCTCGCCTTTTCGAGAGGCCACCCCAACGCACGGAGCAATTGTAGTTTGATTGGTTTGGAGTCATCCGAGTCTAGTGGACAACAATTCATCCACCGATGACGGGCTCTGCAACACATACCTGGAAGGTCGAGAAAGGACACGTGCTCGTGCATCGAGACAGGGTCCAGCACGCGTGAGTGTTCAATTGATGCAAAGCCTGCGGTATAACCAGTGAGTTAGCCGCCAGGCCCTGTCGGAACACATGCCGTAATGCCGTAAGTATGTAGCAGGAGTGTGGTCTCCGTAATTGATGAAGAGCTGGTCCTTGGCAGCATGCGGGGTCGTAGTGCGAATCACAAACGAGTCATCCCTCTCCACGTAAGAGTGCTCGCAGGCCGACCTAACACGAATAGTCTGATGCTTCATGTGGCGACAGAGTCGTTGACACGATGTACGGGAGGTGGGAATGGTTGAACCACTCGAAGTATGGGATGAGTGTGAACGGCTGGGCATTGCCTGAGGTTGCGCGGGACATGAGCACCGACAGCGCCCACTGAAACTTGATGCTGCTCACGATCGGAGACATCGTGCCAAAGAGGTCGATGTGCATGGTGCGGTAAACTTGCCGTCTACGACATGGACAACGAGGTAGGACAACGAAGACTACCGTGCCACGTACGCGTTGATAATCGTGTCGCGGACTTCACAGTGCCGGAGCTCATCCAAACGGCGTTCGGACCAGTACATTGGCACGTCCAGCACAGGTGGCAGGGAGTTCAAGTATACGTCGGACGCATCGCCCATCACGATATGCGTGGCAAGCAAGACAGCATCCGCCATTCGTTGATTGTTGCCGCAATAACTGTCCACTCGGTCCACGAACGCTGGAGCTTGTTGTCGAGCTTCCGATCGTGCAGCGGCCGCAGAGTATTCGCGCCATACCTCCGACGACGCGACAAATACAACTTCGCCACTGTCGATCGGCTCGATGGCTTCAATACCAAGTCCCATGGATGGGTAGTGCTTTACCTGAATCTTCGGTGAAATGAAGCTGCCTTTCGCGCCGCGGATGATGCGAGCCAGCGACTGCACCGCGTGCCCCACCGCCATGCTGTCGAATCATTCAATATCCTAATTCCCTGGTGTAGATGATGGCACTGTCCTAATTAGCAATTGGCGCTTTGTGGCGGTGTCGCTCGGAGGCGTTCGGATTTGACCAGCGGTCCTTTGGCCTTCGCAATGCATCGGACCAAGGTAGCAACAGCGGCGGTGAGAGCAGTGCGTGTTCCGTCAGGACCTAGCCCTCTGACGGCAGCAACCATGCACGCACGACTGGGGGAGCAAACCCATAAAGAAGAAGAGTTTATTGGCCTGCTTTGGATTTCGACGGCACTGGCAATGGCACGTTCTCCTTGTCCATGAAGAACACAGATTTGACCATTTCGTACGTGGCAAACCCGGCAGCGTTGGACGGAAACGCCCGCAGCAGGCATGGCGTATACCCTCTCCACAAGCCCCGCCATCCTTGCTCACGTACAATAGCCTTGGCACATGCCATGAACCCTCCGTCAGGAATGTACGGTGACTTGGCAAACAGCGGGGCATGGCCTAACGGCTGCAGCTGCAAGCGAGACTTGATAACGTCTTGCGGATAGCTCACTGTCCAGCACACACAACCGGCAAACCCACCAGCCAGAAGCGTTGTCGCAGTCGAGGCTTTGTCATTCTCGCCATCCAATTGTGCTGAAAACACACGCTGGAGCAGTTCATCTACTCCACTGGATTCAGACACGTCAAGTTCGTTCTCAGTATGGTCGTACAAGTGCCGAATTGGCCAACGTAGCTCGGCACTTCACGGACCATGGTGGCCACGTGCCCCCGCCACAACCCGCGCATCCCTTCGAATCTTGGGTGATGCAGTGAAATTAAAAATGTTGCGGACGCACCATCGATTTGGATGATCTTTTTGACGCAATCGAGGGTGCCGTGGAATTTGATTTCATCTTTTGCCATGTGAATCGCTTCACCTTGGGCTTGCAAGTGGCACTTGACCAACTCGACAGGGGTGACGACAATTGAGTTGACAAATCCAGCCCACGCTCCCGCCATCATGGCTTCGTGGTTCATGAGGACACCCGACGTGTCGTTCAAGCGACGGGTCAAAAGAACTGCCTTGGCGTGCTCGTACGCGCTGAACACGACGGCATTTACGAGCGGGACGGTCGTCATCGGTGACACCATTCCTTTGTACAAGCCCCAGAACCCTTCCTTTTGCACGGTTTGCATCACACAATCCATAGGCCCTTTGAACGGCGCGGACGGGCAATTCATCTGCAGACGGACCTTGACAGTGTCAAACTACAAGAATGGTCAGACACAATCGACAAGAAAACGGAGATCATGCGTACGGGGTGGCCAACCACTACGACAAAAAACATCATGAGCAAGGACAACGGCAAGGCATCTCGAACCTGTGGATGATACACCGGCGCATGACCCTGCAATGAAGTCACGGAGGGGTGAGAGCTCCGCAGTGTCGTCGATCTCCTCGAACGATTCGACCTTTCTGTCGTCGTAGTAGTGATTATGCCGGGGACACCACACCAAGTGGTGATCGCCGTGCTCAGGATGTTCGCCGTGGTCGGATGCGTGGTGGTGAGGAAGGGCATCAGACGGCGCCGAGTGGGGTCGTGTGCAGGCCTGGGTGGAGTTCGACATCCCCTTGAAAATGGCGACTGCCAAACGCACAACCCGATAAGAAATCCCTACGGAAAGATTCGATAGGGATTTTCCATCCCCGCGAAGCATTGTGACTTGGGTACAAGTTGAAGTTGGGACTACATACAATCAAAATAATCTCACGCAATTTTCGCTCCAAAGGCTGGCATGATTCGATTGACCTCGTGAGCTCTACCCTCTTCCAACATTCACTGCTCTCGGCAACGTCTCGACGGCGTCGGGAGGAGGACCGCCAAGAAGGATGATGTGCCCATATCGTGCTCCGTCCTTCACGCCTCATGATGTCGCCTTCGAAGAAAGTGCCATTCAAGTTCTCACCATTTGAGCGGCGCTCACCAAGAATGGACTTCGCTGACTTCGTCCTTGCGTTGACGCCAGTTGGATAAGAAGTTCCAGCACAACTTATCTGGAGAGTTGAAGGCGGCGTGTACATGATACCCCATCACACACACTGTAGCTACGAATTGCTTTCTTCTGGATTGGCGAATTAACACTCGAACGCATAGAACTGAAGAGGACGTTGATTGTTGATTCGATTCTAATGGCGATACCCAACGGAATGTAAACTCTCCAGCGTAATGATCCAGAATCGATGCGATTGGTCAATTTCCGGAATACGGCATTTGATTGGCTAGTGCCAGGGACAGACACTCGACCATCAGATTTGAGGAATTGCATCAGCGGTGGTGACACTATCGATCCGCGCTGTGGACAACGCTACCAGCGCGGACACCCGGTCATTGCCGAACTCCTAGCGTGATTCTTCCCAATAAGAGCCGAAGGTAGATATCTGCATGTTGCGACGATGCGGCGAGCTCGATAGTGGCCCTCATGACGTTTTCGTCGTTGCTGCTCATTCAGCCGGAACATGTCATCAGCCAATCAGATCGATTCACCCATTTATCCGGAAATATGTCCGAGGACTCCAAAATCCAAGATTTACAGCTCGAACCTCAATGCATCATCGTCGAGAATTGATGTTCATAAAGTATAGAGGATTATACGGATAATATCACAGTACAGTACTGCTAACCGGTTTTATACCAATCCAAGGCAAATTCGATTTTGAATTCCTTGATCTCGGTGACATGAACAGCTTAGTCACCGACATCTTCACGCTGGCAGGGCGGTCTGTCGTCCTGTCGGCGGTGGCAGACGGCCTCAAGATCGACGTTCCCTCGAAACCAGTCAACAATGCACTCTTGAAATGGGAAGATGTTCTGGGTGCTACCAACAAGGACAAACCTGCTGGGGTGCTGTTGCACGCGCTCGTACGGGTCAACCACGGCAAGCGACAAGAGCGAACGATCGCTCTTCATGCTACCGCTGGTACTGACACACAAGAAGTCGAGCGTTGGATCCAAATCGTCACGTTCTTTGCTGATCCCACACGAGTCAAGACAGAAACGTTGCCAACGCTGGACCACGTATTGCAGCACCAACCCAAGAAGCGGGTACGATACGAGGTGCCAACCTGGTTCGTCATGTGCAGTTATGTGAACGTGGTAGAAATACTTGGTGATCATCAACCCTGCCTCTGGACAGAGTACGATGCGACGATGATGTTTAAGCCTCTGACGATAGAGCGTTTAGGCAAGGGTGTCAAGCTGTTCCAAAAAGTTGAAGCTTTCTTTGCGCATTCCAGCATCAACGTGACCAAATTGCTCACGGAGCGCTCGGGCCACGCAACAGAACTCGCGACTTCCATCGATCATACATTGTACGACGCGTTGGTCGTTGTCGGAGGAGACGGCGTCATTTACGAAGGTCAACAGTGCAAACTTGCCCTTCGAGTCTGATGTTGGTGTAGTCATACAAGGGCTGATGAAGCGTCCAGATTGGTCCGAAGTGATCCAGACCCCTCTGGCGGTGCTTCCCATGCAACTCCTCGAACTTGGTCAACAAACCAACGTAGATTCTCCCGGCTGGCGGCGGCAATGGGCTAGCAAAGTCCCTCACGGAAGCATCTGGTGAAAAGTACAGCTTTGAAACATGCGCGTATTTGGCCATCAAGGGCCAACCCCAGGCCTTGGACCTGGCCACAGCTCGTAAGTGTGTCGCCGTCCCTGCATCCTCCTCAGTGAAGTGATTTCACGAGCTTTCACCCAATGTCGTAGGTGGCAAATCGACCGAATCCTTCATCTTTCTGTCCCTTAGCTGGGCTTTCATGGCCGAGACGGACTTGGAATCGGAGAAGTTCCGGTTTGCAGGGTCACAACGCTTTACAATATCCGCGCTAAGCAAGATCATGTCGGGGAAAACCTGGTCGGGATCGTTTTCGTACCTCGAGCCTCCTGCGGATGAAGTGGTGCCAAAGTACTGGGATGATGTGGACGCAAAGGCCGGCGCCGCGCCAAAGTTGACGTTGCTTCCGCCGTCCGTGGAGGATCCTAAACCTGAGACGTGGAAAACGATTGAAGGCGACTTTAGCTTGTTTTGGGCCATGAATACTGCTTGGGCAGCCACAGACGGACTTGTGGCGCCATCGGCCGAATTGGACGACGGGTTCATGCACGTGGTCATCATGCCTGGGAGAGTGTCGAAGGCAGAGTACATGAGTGTGCTTTTGTCTATCGACAGCGGCGGTCACGTGGAGAAACCATCGGTGCAAGTGATCAAGACGAGGTACGACGAAATTCTCGTGCTGAGTCACATCTGCGACGTTGTTGACGACTTTGGATCCTAGAGCGTTCGAAGTCAAAGCTCCCATGTCTGATATCATGATGGTTGACGGGGAGCGCTTTGACGGAGGTTTCTGCCAGGTAAATTCACCCTCTACCGTCCCTTCTTCCTTCACATTCGACACGCTGCAGGTCGAAGTTCACCGCGGGATGGCGCGCGTTCTCGCTGTGCCTAAGTGAGGACGCAAGGACACGTTTTTATATTTTGAACGCATTTAAAAATGATCGTCATTTAATGCCATCAAAGTTGTGTGTTTTGGTGTACACTTAATGAAATCAAGTATAAATTTGTCAAGAACCAATTTCATTGAAACCGAATAAATTTATTTATCACAGTCCAAGTGAGAAACGTGTTGAATTCGTTTTCTGACCATGGCACAGTTGGAAGTGACGGGAGTGTCCTGGCGGAGACGTGCGTTCGTTGCGGCATTGGCAGCATGTGCAATTGCCGCTGAAGTCAACGATACCAACTTAACCCCTTCCTTGGTGGTGTCGGCCTCCATTCCGTCAATTGCTGCAGACCTTGAGATCGTCGACGAAACTGGAGGACCACACTCTGTCGATCGAAATGACGAAGTGTTGACACCAGCCTCCAGTGATGCTGCACTTGGAGAATTTGATATGCCCACCCCACCTTCCATTGATTCCCCTTCAGTTGAGCAGAATGCCACGGCTTCCCCGGCAACAATTGCAACGGGAGGAGGTGGCGCTTTACTCCCACCTGTGCTCGTGTCAAACAACTCCAGCACTTTTCCATCCGAGTCGACCCCGAGTAATGCACCAGCAATGGCGGTTGATATTCTCAAGACTGCTTTGCCTCCGGCAACCAGTCCACCGGCAACGAGCTCACCGACCACATCAGAACAAACTACAGGAACACCAACTACAGCAGCTCCTACCACAGCCGCTCCACCTATAACGGCGTCTGCACCAATTGCATCTTCTGCGACCACATCTACTGCGCCCGCTTCCCCAACACCCGCATCATCTCCCACCACAACAACCACCTCTGTACCATCAACGACTACGAAACAAGTCACGACCGCAGCACCAACGACGGTCTCAATAACCACGACCGAACTGAAGTCCACGACACCCTCTCCATCCTCTGCATGGACTGTTGCCCCCAACCCGTCAGCAGTCCCTGTTGTAGACCACACGATTAGTCCTGAAGAGCCTTCGACGAAGCATGGGAAACCTTCCGCAGTGAACGAGAGTGCCAGAGGCAGCAGCCACCATGGCCCTGCTACGTCGTACACAACGCTCGCGCTTGTGGGATTTTCGCTCTTGTGCGTTTTCATCGTGCTTCGTCGGCGTCACCTCCGAGGATCCACCACCTCTGGAGCATCGACAGGGAGACCTTCTAGTAGCGGCAATTACGCCAAGTATGGTCCATTCTCTCTGTCCTTCGGTTTTTCAACGCCTTTTCCGTCTCTTGTTGTAGACTGAGCAACCCCCACGACCCCGTCGACGATGATGACGACTTGGACTGGCAAGATGATCCCGAGCTGGGCAGTAGCACCGGACGAAAACGGCTCTCGCCCGACTTCAACCCGTTCTCACGGAATCAACCGGTCCCGTCGACGCCGAAATCCGTGCCCCCGCTGTCGACCACGCCGTCGTCTCCGCCTCCTTGCCCACCCCGCTGCATGTCGAGGCTGCACGAGCCGATCAATCCGTTTGCCGTGAACCATGACGTGTTCAGCGTGCGTAGCCGATTCAACTGACTCGAACGATTCAAGCCTCATCTTGATTGCAGGAATTCAACATGGTGCCCCAAGTAAAAGCCTCCGCCCAGCCCCCTCCTCTCGTGCTGCCGTCCCCTGCAAAACACCCCGTCATCCCACCACCGCCAGCATCGACCAGCGCCATCTTTGCCATGGAAATGGACGATCATGTACAATCTCTTGGTTGATTGTTCGAGGTTGACGTGCATCTACGGGCTCTTAGGCAGAAGATGACGCGTCCGGCTGGGACGAAGACGACTGGACTCACTAGGCATGCCATCAGCTTTGTACTTCAACTCGCGAGGTGTTGGAAAAACGACTGCTTCAGCCCTCTTCGACGCTATGCGTGTGTCGGGATGGCAGCGTGCGACGACGGAAACGTGGGGTTTGCGTACATCCTTTCAAAAACCAACATGAACCAGTTGACGCGACATTCGCCTCCACCAAACGATTTCTAGCTCTGCAAAGCGTGTGACGATATGGGAACGAGGCAAGGAAAGCTTGGGCTGACCACGTCGTCTGGGAGTGGTGGGGCAGTGGATGCGGGACGTGGATGACGGTCTGCCGTGGCGGGGCTTGTCGATCAACCAAGACCACGCAGGTCGTGCCAAGTCGGAGCATCACATTCGCCATGAGGGCGCGAATTCCTTCCACGGCGTCGGGGGACAATATGTCGTTGTATTTCAAATCCAGGCACGTCATCGGGTCCGTTCGATGAGCCACCACATCGACGAGCGCCCTCAGGCTGGGCTCGCCGAGGAAGTTGCCCTGCAAGCTCACCTTGCGAAGGTTGGGGGTGATGCGAATCGCAATGGCGAGCCCCATGCCGCCGTCGTCTTGGATCTCGTTGTAGCTCAGGTCCAACTCCTGAAGGCGCGTTTGAGGCAGCACCGACACGAGCGCATGCGCGCCGTCGTCCATCACGCGACTGTAGCTCAGATCGAGCTGCACCAGGTTGGAGGTCGGAAGCGCCTCCGCGAGAAGGGAAAAGTACTCTGGATACATGCTGTGCCACGACAGATCCAATGTCTGAAGTCTCGACTCTGTGTTGTCGAGGGCGTCGACGATGTTCTGGTGGGACTGCAGCGACGACCTCGTGTTGGAGAGGGTCAAGTGCGCGAGTGTCGGGGGCAGCGCCAAGTTCAGCCGGTTCCGGCACGCATTCAGTTGAAGGACCGTCAGCGCTGACGATTGCAACGCCAGCATGAATCGGTCCGCCGTTTGTGTTTCGCACTCGAAGAGAAATTTGTCCAGCGACAGCGTCGTCGCAGTGCGCACAGTCTCCAACCAAGTCGACATGCCATTCACGATAGCGTCGGAGAGAACTTGATCCGCGTCGCTGCGGTAGTGCATGTCGTCGAGACCTTCCAGGATGAGCTCGGTGACTGTCGATGCGGGCAACTCTGCCACCAAACGTTCGACGACTGCGACGTTGACCAACGACGCAGCTCGAGGCGACGGAGATGCTGCAGCCTGGGCAGGACTGGCGCCAACTGAGCGGCACACTCACCTCTTGTATCAAGAGATGAACATCGGACGGACGCGATGGGTACGAGCGCTAGGTCGTGGAACACTTGGAAAGGCAATTCCGCGTCGCGGGGACGGGGGTCCAGGTCCGCGCAAAGGTGGGGCCACAGCGCATCCCGCGGAAGAACAAGGCCCAGACGTCTGAGTGGCTCGAGGGCTCCGAGTACTTGGACATGATTCAATGCTTGGAGAAGCGCAAACAAGGTGCCGCTGTCATGGATGTAGCGCGCGATGCAATGCACAACGTCGGGTGGTACATGCGACCGCATCAGTGTGGGGCGGTTCTACCGTGAATTACTGTGAACCATCTCCTCGAGGGCAAAGTTCTCCAGGATACCCAAGATGACGACGGTAGCTCGTAGAGGGCGGAGACTGCTGCGACTTGTTGCTATTCCTTCGAACCAGTGGACCACAAAATGAGTGCTCTTGGCATGAGTGCTTGCAGAGTGAGATGCTTGATCTAGCGAACGCTGACAGCCACACACGTCGTCCAAATTGACAGGATGGACAGAATCCTCACAACAGCCATGGAAAGTCGTGCTGCCACGTTGGCTGCCGTGTCGCTCTGCATGCGTCCACAGCAGTGTGCAACATGACATCGCATTGCGGGAAATGGCAGAGGTGCTCGAGGTACCATTTGGAGCCACGAGCACTGGTTGGAACGAGAAGGACCCGTCCCGGGTCCGCGCCATGAAGTTGCTGTCAGGTTTGGCAGTCGCATACCGACGTGTTCGACTACTGTTCGAACAAGCGATGTCCGCTCAAACCAGATGATGGGCGAGATGCGAGTGTCGCGCGGGTGGTCGCCGCTAGACGTGGCCGCATGGGGCGATAAAACAATTTGGCCAGAGCTCAGACGATCGTGAGGTCCATGACGCGGCGCTAGACACATTCGTTGGTGGCGACGTCCCCTCGAGGCGTCATCTCGTTGGACAGGCACAAAGACAGGGCCGCTTGTTCTTGTTTGGGTCATTTTTCAAATTATGCGGCCTTTACCCGAGATTGTCGAGGAAGTCGCCAACTTCACGAACGACAGCGACACGATGTTTGCGCTTCTTGACGCGTTACATCGCACGCATGCTCTCGGAAACTTTGAGCCGCTTCGACGCCTCGGACTCATTCTGCCACGGCAGGCCCTTTGGCCGAGTCTGTGTGCTGTCCTGGATGCTCGACCTGGAGAAGTGGATCTGTCCCCCGACGTGTTCGACGTGCTTCAACTGGTTCCCATCGCATCCATACGAAGCAGATCTCTGGACACGAGCAGTGCGTTAGTCGCTCGGTTGGCACCCGTCCTTCCCAGCATGCACCACCTTCGCCGCCTGGAATTGACGTCCTTGGCGGATGTCACTGCCGTCGATCCGTTGTTTGGTGCGCTGCCTGGGTCGACCATCACAGAGCTCGTTCTGGAAGGCGTAAACGAAATGCACTATCGGCACGACAGAGAGCAAATTCTCTCAGACGTAGCGGTGCATGGCATGTCGTCGTGGCTGGAACGCAGTGCGAAGCCAACCACATTATGTCTCGACAAGCTAGTGTTCCAATGCGCCCTGCCCGTGGCAGAGCGGTTCATGCGGGCGTTACAAGAGTCGATGCTCACGTCCATTCAACTCCACCATTGCCGACACCAAATGGCGTTGGCCTTCCCGCCAACACTCGTGCACTTGGCCTTGTCCGACACTCGATCGTCCGCCGAGTCCGAGCAGCGCGTCATCGACGCTCTCGGCGACCCGGCGTCCCAATTGCGGACGTTAGATCTGTCCTGGTACAGCATGTCCTCTCGGACGCTCTCCCTTCTCGCGACATCCATCCCGTCGTCGACCTTGATTCTCCTCGACGTCAGCTACACCTGCTTGCTTGATCGTGGCGCTGTTGCGTTGGCATCGTCTCTGCCTCACACGTGTCTTCAAGATGTGCATCTTGGGTACAACGAAATCACCAACGTCGGGGGCGAGATGCTGGCGACCGCATTGAAAGACGCCCCGACCCTTCGAAAGCTCCACCTGCAAGGCAACTTTTTGGGCGAATCCGGCATGGCAGCCCTCGTCCAAGTCGCCACGACTCGGCCTGAACCCGTCGAGTGGGTCGACCTTACCAACAACGACAAGTTTTTCTTCACCGCGCTTGTTCGGGTGCACGCCATGTACCGACGCCTGTCCCAACAGTACAGCTCGACCTGCGTCGTCCTGCTTGACAAGTGCGACTTGCCTCAACACGAATGATCTCTAGTTCACTCGTTTCCTTCCTCCGCGACGCGAAAGAGCGACATCACAACGACCATCGCAATTCCAACGTTGGTTGCGATACAAGGGCGGCGGGATGACTGGAATCGCAACGCATTGGACACCGCCACGTCTTTCGAGTCACTAGCGCATTCGTCTCAAGAATAGCGTTGTGGCCCCCAAGAGTGCCGTCATCGCCACAAATGTTGTGCTTGGCCCGAACGCAGGCCTGGTGAATCAATGCATGCATGTCTCGTGTAGACGTCGTTTTCCAATTACGTGGACGATCGAATGCGAGATGGCGCATCTTCCTCCATCATCGGAATCGCGTACGGCACGATGCTCGACGTTCCAGTGTTGTTGCCTTCTTCGACTTCGGCTTCGGGTACTTGGTAAAATTCCTTGGGACCATCCCATAGCTTCTTGAGTAGTCCCTTTGTGCGCCACGTCACGACGACGAGCAGGCCTAGTGTGCACGGCACCAAGTACAGCAGCGCAGGCTGGCCAGATTGCATGAGGATCACGCCCAGGTTGGCCAAAAACAGGCCCACGGCGTATCCAATGCACATCGTTCCAAAGAGGCCGATGGACCCGCCAAACGCGCCCGTGCGGGGTTTCCCGATGACGTTTCCACGGGAGGCGTAGTCGAAGCGGGCGCAAAAGACAAGGAGAAGGCCGGGGAGAACAATGTCGCCCAGGCCGAGCATCGCTTCGCCGCCGAGCCAGTTGGTGACCTTTGGCAGCCGGAGCAAGATCGGGATGTCTTCCTTCAAGCACTTGGCCCCGTTGTCGTTGGAGGGGTATCGGAGGCAGTAAGACGATGGCGCTTCCGCGTCGTCTTGCTTGCCTCCCTGTGCCGCCACGATCATGACCGACTTGCCGAAGATGTACGGCGACAGAAACACAAAGAAGATGTCGTAGACGAAGACGAGGACGAGCAGAATTGTGGCCACTTTGATGTTGGGGAGGCGGATCGTCTGGAGGAACAGAATGCACACGCACACGCCAAACACGTCTTGGAGCACGAACGAGTACGCCGCGTGGCGAGTGAGGACCCAAAACACAACGAGCCCCGCAGACAGTACGAACGACACGACGTCAGCGACTTCCACGCGCACGGGGCCGAGGTACTCGCTGTTGGCGGAATACAGCTGCGTCCGAAAGGCTGGTATGCGGTGCAGGAGCGGCGTGAGCAGGATCGTCCCGACGGCGCTACTCGCGCCAAAGCAGAACATGACAATCACAATCATCACGACATTCACGTAAAAGAGGAGGAGGAGGAACCCAGAACCAAACACGAGAAATGCCACTGCATGGACCCAGCCAATGTCGAGCGCGGGCTCCTCCAACTGTTCCTGCCGGAGCGCCGCATGCACCGCAGCGGGCACGCGGCCCGACGTGCTGGCATGAACGCGCTTCGCCGTCGCCTTCTTGCGCTCCAGCGCAGCACCATAGTACCCCGCGGTCGTGATGGTGCACACTGCCATGAGCCAGATCAACACTTGGGCGGCGTCCACGCGAGGGACAAATCGCTTGAACACCGACACCTAAATTGCTCGGACATGAGCGAGCAACGTTGAGAGCAACGACTAACCGAAGACGACGGCGACTCGAGTTTTGAAGCGTCCATGGCGCGAATACGCACGACAGGAATCGTGACTAGGTTGGCGTTCACGCCATATCCCATGTAGTCGGCGACGTCCCACATGCAGCACACCTGGTTCCCGTTTCCCGTGGGAATGCAGCGTTGAGACGTACACAACGGGGATGTCCGGCATGCAGCTGCATTATTCAAGTCGGACCACGGAGGACTTGCAACGGAAGGGAGAACAGCGGAACCTTGGGAGCAATCGAACGCGCCTCCCTTGTCATACTTGGAACCATTCACGCGGACAGACGAGTTGTAGATCGCTTCGACCGTATCCGCGATAATGACAGCCGCCGCGCCAGCCTGTTGTGCCGCGAGCGCCTTTTCGGTGAATGTGCAGTTGCCCCGCTCGACCAGTAAGATGAATCGTGAGCCTGTGATCGATGTCTGTAGGAACATGTGAGTACACAGCACAACAACTCCAGTAGAGCCATACCAATCGCTGCTGAAGCGCTGTGTTTGCCGTCAAATCCGACGCTTGGCATGCAAACGTCGCTTTCGGACTCAATGCACGCAACGACAAGACCTGTCCTTTCAATGCCGACTCCTCGTCGGGCAAATCGCCTCCCCAGGTATTCGAAGACAGCGGGTCTTTGGTATACGTTCCATACAGATCAACGGAGGATGTGCGAATGACTGCTGTTTGGAGCCTGGACGTGTCCGGCGAGGCGTCAACGAGGGAGAAGACGGAGGCCGCGGCCACCGCGGCAGCAGCACAACATCCAGCTCGCATTGCGAAATGTTGTGTCGAAAATAAACCGGATGTAGCGAAAGCTGATAAACGTAAGTTTTACATTTAACACATAGGATAAATCCTGTCTATCTTCTATGGAACCTGGGGGATTAAAACCATACGATTAAACCACTTTGTTTAAACATCGTTGCCCATGCCTTTCCTGGAACCCATTGCAGTCGTGGCAAGAAGTCACGATGCCGCACCCGTTCGGCCGCATGGAGTGATGCTACTGCAGTCCGACAGCGTCGAACTGCCGGTGTCTCTGCTCGAGTACTTCCTTTGCCGTTTTGGGAATCGTTTGCGGGTCATGCACCCGTCGAAAGTCGGCGTTCGGATCGAGTTTGGACCGCATATTGGAGCGCTTGGGAGGGTTGCCGCCCATGGCGTGCTTTTCTTTCGGGCGAAGAAGCGGCAGCGTCGAGCAGACAAAGCTTGGTTTTGCCAGTCCCAAGATTTTTTCGGCGTCTTTGATTCCCGTGGTGGTGGTCTTGCCGCTGACTGTTTGTGGGAGCTGTCCGTTGTGTCCACTTGTCGGGACAAGTTCTGCAATTCCTTTCATGTCCTTGTCAAGGTGCTTCTTTGCCGTCATTGTCCGCCTACAGCATGCCTCTCGATGAGAATACTTCCACATGATGCCACGAACAGGGCCGCGTTGTGGGTCGCTTTCTGCCCCAATCGAGTCGACGCCGAGATGAGTGTCCGTGCAACGCTCTTGAGTTTTGAGTGCGTCGTGACCGCCGAGTCTAGCATTTGCGTTCGATGGCGACTGCCTTCCGTGTCCACGAAGGCAAATGCGCCTTCAGAGGTATTTCTCTACGCGTCACCCGTATCAACCACCGTTCTTCTGCACCAACCACCTCCATGCGCCTACCATGTGCACCGACTTGATGGCCACATACAGACACTTGTACGGCGTGTTTTCGTGCGTGCTCCTACACCCAACCGCACCATGAGGACCCTCTTGCGCGGTCTCCATGCCGACGACGTACATGAAGCACCGCCCGATGCACTGCGAAAAGTGCGAGTCTTTGGTCCACATGTTGTCCCGAACAAACTCTTCTAGCTTGAGTGTCTTCTGCTTGATTTGCTGGGCAATGCCATCCCACGCCAAGATTTCACCCTTGGATACCTTGATCACGGTGATGATGTCGGCGATATCGGACGTCGAGTCCCGTGCCATGCTCATGGACGCTTTCCGAATGAGCAAGTTGGCTTCGTCTCCTGAAGCGCTCAACAACAACGTCGTGACGATCTTGCCGACGGTAGACGCGACCTGTGACGACATCAAGTCGACCGAGTTGCGATGACTGTGGTGGTGTGCAGATCGGCTGATCCACACTTCACCAGGCTTCGGCATCGAGTCTTCCGCGAGCTGCGACTCCATGTGCTGCGTGTGGGTCAGTGCGGCCGCAATGGATCGACTCGGGATGAAATGCTTGTGGTGTTTGCCTGCATGCGCGTTCGCTTGAGGCGCCGACGCGCTGTACGTGGATGGCTTGCCCAAGTGCCAGTACTTGTGGCGTCCAAACACGCCGACCTGCACGCTGTCGAGTGTCCACAGGCTGACTTCTCCGTTCCCGCTCGACACCAGCACAAACAGGTCGATTTGACGCGTGTTCTAAATCACAATCAAGTCCTGTCATGGCTCGACGGCACTGACCTCAATAAAGTTAAGACTGAGGATGCGACCGCCGCCGACGCGCCACTGACACCCGTGCTCAAAGTACATGCCTTTGTCCTTGAGCGAGACGCTGAGCCCCCACGTCCGAATGTACCCCGCTGAGTCGCCTGACCATCCAATTCGATTTGAGACATGTCGGCCAACTTTGTCCTACCCGTGATGACGTTGTCACCGCACCGATCGCACGCCATGACAACGACGGACTCGCCAGTGGGGTGCTCCAGCGGTATCTAGTCGCCATCCATGAAGGAATGGCGCACATGAGACGTGCTTGCCGAACCTCCGTTTTGACCGACGAAACGCGGTCAAGCGTGATGAGCTTGCCTTCGTCCCCGGCCGCCATGAGGAGCTCCAACTTGTTGCAGTACATCATGCACTCGATCGCTCCGTCGCTCTGGTGTAGCTGGGACATAAACTCGCCCGAATTCAAGTTCCACAGCAATATCTAAGCGACCGCATGAGAAGCATGTCCGTGAACGACACTATCAACCTTGCCATCCAAGCCAGACGTGGCCAATGTCGCTGGCGGGATGTACACAACGCTCAGGATGTCATCTGTGTGGCACTTGGATGTGTCGGTGGCGGCGATGATCCACATTGGCAGGGGCTCGTCCTCGTCATTCGAGTCCAACCAAATGTAGATCCTGCGATCCCACCCGACGGAGACCACGAAGCGCTGGCAAATGTACTCACCCATGCCGACGCGCACGTTGCGCTCGATGTCCAAGATGCACGTGACTTCGCTTTGCTGGTACCGCTGGTGGTGATGATGGTGCTGCGACGACGTGGACGGCGTCGATGGGGGATGCGGCGTCGTCGTCGTGTCAGGATTCGAAGCTTTAAGGGTCGTCCGGGTCGGACTCGGTAGCTTCGAGCTGGAGCCATCCAGCAGCTTCTCTGCGTCAAACGCGTCAGGCAGAACGACAATATCGCGGACTCGCGGCGGGCGTGGGGGGGGCACCGAAAACGGAGACACGTGGGGTTCGGTAGCCTTCTTTTCTTCTTTGAGAAATTGCTTTACGAGCGCCCCGTTGCTAAGCAACGCGTGTCTGTCCCTCGGTCGTCCACAATGCAATGCACCTGAAGTTCCACATTTTGACCTGGGCGCCATCGTGGCTGCCGGTAATGAGCCGGCGGCCGGCGCAGTCGAACGACATGGCAGTGACTGGACTCGAGCCGTGCGCGTTGTTGAAGCTGCACACTTCTTCCCCCGTTTCCGCCTACACATTCGACACGTCGGCAAGTCACAACGGAGTAGCAAAGGAAGTGTACACTCCACGTCTTCACAACGCCTTCTTCGCTCATTTCGGCTGTCAGCACTTGGTTGAACACCGAGTTGTAGCACGAAATGCACGGCGCCTTCTTTGTGATGAGCTCGGCTTCTTCGGACGAAATCATCTTGAGCGGCCACCTGGCCAAGTGGGTCGTGGCGCTGATAAGCCCCGGCACCTTGGGGTCAAACAGCAGCGACGAGATTCGATTGTCTGCTCCGCCTGTGCTCCTAGACGGCTGTCACCATCCATCGACCCTTTTGTGCACACACGCACTTGAATCGGTCGGCAAACGTTTGCAAACATCGGTGGTTCCGGATGTCCCACACCTTGAAAATGTTGTCCGATGAGACCGACACGATCTGGAAGTTGTCGTCATCGCAAGCGAGGTGCAGCACGGACGCCGTGTGGCCCTACGTCGACCCCTCCACGATTACGACGCGGTCGATCCATCGGACGGACCCGCAACGTTGCGACAGCGCGCTGCGACGAGTATGGATTCCAGATCGAGATGTCGCGCTCCATGCCGCAACTCGCGATGAGACGCGACGTCGACGACCAGACGAGGTCGAACACGCCCTTTTTGTGCTTGGAATATTCAAACTTGGCCACCATGCGCTCGACGTCGATGATCTATCCATCCATGTGACTATGCATGGCGCACGTGGGGGAGTTTTCGCACCGAGATGTTGGTGTCGAGCGACGTGGCGACGATGGCGCGCATGTCGTGCACCCACTTGACGCGAGTGATCCAGTCGCTGCCCCCCGAACAAACACACGCGAGTCACGGCTCGAGTACGATTCGTGCATGGATGTCAATACTCACGTGTGCTTTTTGTACTTGGCTCGAGTGGAAAAGCCATGCGTTTCGAGCTGGTGGGCGCCAGGGCGGCCATCGCAGTTGGACCATTGATTGGACGTGGTCATGACCTGGCCAGCACCGTCGTGGTCCATCCATCTCGTCCAACGACGGCGTACCGTGATGCCGCCTGTGTCGTCCCCGATCACGAGCGCTTCTTTTTCATCGCTCGGCTTTTCCACGTACTCCAAACAGAGTGGAATGCACTGCTTTTTCGAGTACTCGGACAGGTCGCCCACAGGTTGGCCCGTTGACATGTCGTAGAACGCCAGCGTTCGGTTCATGCTCGACACAGCCAAGCGATTTGACCGCTTCATGTACGAGCAGTCGGTGATCCAGTTGCGACCAGTCGCAATCGTCGTCTGCCATGACATCACGCGCGTCATGCAACCCGAATGCACGTACTTGGTACGCAAGCGTGTTCGAGTTCCACGTGCGCACGCTGCCGTCGCGACTTGCCGTCACGTACAAATGGGGTTTATCTAGTGGAACGATGCGCGTGATGATGTCTTTGTGATTGTTTGCCGGTCGAACAGCCGAGCTGTCGCCGCCACCAGCCTCCACCACATCCACAACCTACATCAGACAACGTGACGCCAAGTGAGCTCCGGCGCATTGTACCTTGTCTGGCTGGGTCGTGATGTACCGGCAACTCATGTCGTCGCTCAAATTCGAGATGGCGTTGTCGCTGCCACTGAGAAACATGTACTACATCCACGTGATCAGCGTCGACCATGCCTTTCGACGTCATTACGTTGGTGAATTCGTCCCAGCTCACCGTCCCATCCGAGTTGGCGTCGATCTTCTGGAACCTACCAACAGGATAACACGGCCGCCACCGCAACGATCGGCGTACAAATCCGTCAACTGCGTCTCACTCAAGGTCGAATCGATGGTTTCGCGAAAAAGGCGGACAAATTCGACTTCAGTCAAGTCGCCGCCGGCAAACTTTTCCTTGAGCGAGTGTAGCTGCTCGACGCCGATCTCGTCGCACGAGAACACGGACGCTTGCCTGCGCCCCGTGCGCGGCGGCATCGCGGTCGGTTTCACTCGCTTTCCTCAGTTTCACGACCACATTCAGTTACACTTGAACCATCCATTCGTCCTATCTATCGTTTACGGCGTCTTCCTGCGGGTTCGTCGCACACGTGGACAGGTGGGCCATTTGATTCACGCCGCGCAGGTGCAGCGCATGGTCGTGATCGACGTCGATCTGCGTGATGCTGCAATGACCGATCGCGATGCTCTGGTTCATCTCGCCCCGCGTCGCGATGAAGCCGACGCCGTACGCTGCCTGGTGGATGCAATACCGAATAAAACTTGACGAGCAAATCACAACCGTGATGGGGTACGTCACTTCGCCCGTACAGATCGTCTGAAGTGCCAGCGCCATCTTGGCGGACCGACAAAGAAACTTTTTGGACGTGGACAGGCCATGCGGCACGCTTTCTCGCAGCAGCGCGAGTTCGTGCCGAGCCACGCGGTTGACTTTGTTCGACTGTGTCTCGTACGGGTTGAATGTTTCGTACACGCCCGCCGCCTTGTCGATCTCTTTCGCAATCGTGTCCATCGTTTGGATCGTCCGCGTGATGGTCGAATACACGAGCTGCACGTCTTGGTATGTGAGCCCTGCCTCTTCAATCAGGTCTTGAAGGTACTGCCCTGTGCGCCGCGCTGCAGCCTCACCTTCGTCCGTGATTGTTTTCTCCGCGTCGGCCGTCTTGAAATGGACGTTGTGGAACTCAGCGTGCCGGATGAACAAGAGGCGGCGCTGGATCGCACCAGCTCCGTTCCGCCCGATCGATGAACCTGATGTGGACGACGGCGATAGCCCGCAGAAGGGATGTTGTGGCTTTGGGTTGTGCAAGGTGAACGGGAGCGTCACGACCGGCGCAGGCGGGAGCGGTTTGCACAGTCCCAACTTGTTGGTGAAGTTCGACCACGCTTTCATCGAATTGACCGCCACTGGCGGCGACTTGACCAGAAATCTACGCAGGGCCTTCGTGTGCACGTCTGTGTCTGAGTACAGCGGTGTGGCAGCTGCGATTTGGATCGCCCAGAACCACATGTACATGGTCGCCGAGTTGGTAAACTTGAGAAAAAGTTCGTCGACCTCTCGGAGACCCGCGACCTCGAACAGCTTGAGTTGCGTGTCGTCGAGGACTTGAACGCGGCATTTATGGATCGGGCACGCAAACACTTGGTCTTTGTCGTCGTCGTAGCAGAACACAACGAGGCCCGACGAGAGACCAGCCCAGTACGTCTTCCATGCGACGCCCATGCACGTCACGTGGTTAATTTGCACAGGACCAATGAGGAAGAACGTTTTCTCCCGCGTTAGCAGTTGCATCTGGTAACATCCAAAGTCGACGGGGCTGTAGGGAAGAGCTTTGCTCCAGGACGGGGCCAAGAGTTGTTCCTCTTCTTCGTACCCGATGATGCGTCGTGTCCCAAACAAATTTAACGGTAGTGGCTTCTCTGGGCACTTGTACTGCATCTCGGTGACCCACTCGACTTTTTCCAAGTCCGTTGTGGCGAACGTCACGGCCTTCTTTGGTCGCTCCGGTTTACGCAAGTTGTTCATCAAGTGTCCGCGATTATTGAACGTCAGTAAATCATAAACTTCGTTCTCGTTCGACACGATGAGTGACGCGCGGCTATCGTTGTCGTCGTAAGATCCCGATGGACTTCGCGTTGGCACGACTTTCATCAACTTGTCCAGGATAGTGTCGTGATGAGACCCATTGAACGAAGCACGAAGGGCTTCTCCTTCCTTCGAGTAGGTCTCTGTTCGGGAGTTTGAGTGCCGTCCCATGCTTTGTCGGCCCCGAGAACTCCGCGGCGGCTGTCGCGGAAGAATGCGCGAGTGACAAACTTGTTGCTCGCACGGTTCGCCATGTACTCACGACGGCATTCAAAATCATGTCATGTAATATATTTTTTATAGTTACTCAATAATTGTATTGAAATGTCAAATACCTTTTTCTATTGTGGTCGTGCATCGATTGAATACGCCTACATATAAAAATCAAGTACAAAGCGCCCCTTGGTAACGTCCATCCCATCATCCCCCGGATATCAGATTGCAGCGACCGGATAAAATACGTCCAGCCAATCAAACGCGATATTTACATGCGGCTGGGGTGTCGCTCGCGGCTGCTGAGAATCGCGAGCGACGGTGCGCCTGGATGATCCAAGCTAAGGCTGAAGAGTCTATCGCCCGATCCGCTCTTGCCGTTGCCAGGGAATCCGTCTGTAAAGACGGGTGGCCTCCTCATCGCACTCTTGGATCGGTTCTGGACTGTAGGGAGCACGGATTGCTTGGGGCGTTGGGTCAGCTTCAAGTTGGCCTTCGTCGTCAAGACATCGTGCATCGAGTGAGGCAGTGATGACGTCTCGGGTGTAGCTGGTTGCTGTGATCTTTGACGTGCAGAAAGGACTTGATTGTTTGACGGACAGTCTGCTGTAGGTGTTGTCGGGAACTTCTGTAACTTTATCCTGGCGTGACTGGAAACGAGGCGCTGCTTGATCGATACGACTGAGGCAAGGACACCACAGGACCGCACTTGGTCCCATGCCCCGCTTGTGCTGATATCTTCCACCATGTCGCGGTCCAGCAACTTGCGAATCGCATCCAGTTCATGGAGGATCATATCTTGATCCAATTCAGCATTCGACTTGGGCTTTGCAGGGCGAACTGGAGGCGATCGGAGGTCCACTTGCACTTCCACTGATGCTACCGCCGGCTTCGGCAGCGGTGCGGGCACCTTTGGCGGCCCTGTTGTCACGACGACGGACGGTGTCGCGGGGCGCATCGGAATCGGAGGTCTGTCGTCGATCACTTGCTCGAGATACTTGAGTCTTCGTTCACGCTGATATAACGAGTCGCCGGTCTGATGGAGTTGACCTGGGCCACAAAGATCGTCTTTCACTTCCACGTGGCAACCACGTGCATAACGTACATTGAAGGTCATCGACATGCTGTTCGAGTGACTCGATCTTCGACGCGGTGGCGTTCAAGAGGCTCTCTCGTTCGTGCTCCCACATGAGCTCGCACTCGGCCAGCTCCGTTGTGGACAGTCGCGTAGAAATCTTCGCTTCCATGGACCTCAATTCAGCTTCAAATGTTCGATTCGCAACTTGTTTCTGGTGCTGGAGCTCCATGACGTGGGTTTGCAGCTGCGTGATCGTTTGAAGGTACGACTTCTCGACAGTGTGCGCGTCTTCGAGTTTCGCGCGCCATCGTGCAAACGTGGCATTGTCAATGTGCAGACCTCGATTCGCCTGTAAATACATGCAAAGGGTAAGGGCCACCAATGCATTTGTGGTTCGATTGGCGTGTCCATCACCGTGAAGGATCGGAACTGCATCTTGAGCTTCTGAAGGCTTGCAAACAGGTCCTGCAACGTCATCGTCAAATGCAATGGAATGGCTTGGACGGGTATCACCTGTAGACTGTCATGAAAAGTCTGGAACGAGTGCTTGGGGGATTCTAGGGCGTGTCGGATCCTCGACTCGAAGCTTTCGATCGTGGCGAAGCTGTGCGTGATGTCCAGTGCCTGGAACACGGGGTGCTGCAGCTCTGCCCCATACACTTCCGTCATGCCACGAGCAAGGATGCCACTGGTTTGTCCATGCGACTCGAAATAGCGTCGAAACCGATGTGTTAGCGACGCTAAACTTAGTGCGCATGGATCGAGGACGCTCCGGCGGTGGTGGATTTTCTCGGGGAACATGTCCATTGGGTTTTACCCAAATGTCCCACCGGGTTCCACCCGCAACTAATTGGCGCAACGACGTGAGACGTGCAGGCATCGACGTTTGCCTGGCACCAACCGCCGCTCCTATGGCTCGGTCGACCGCCACAAGCCCCCAGGGCACGTAGCACACCTGGGGCAGGATCGGGTCTCCACTCGTTTGGGAAAATGTCGTCGGGACTTTCGGGCCGAACGAAGCCAACGCCATGAGACGTGAACGACCCACGTGACTATGTCTACAGGAACCCGAATTGTCACCGAGATTGGTGCTGTTGCTGGGTGCGCACGACAGGTGCTGGTTTTCCCGCGGGGACGGCCTGCCTTGGGTCGCACCCATCCGCGAGATTTCCTGTGGCGTCGAGTCTCTGCACCACAACGTTTTTTTCGTATAAAATCTGCACATGGGCACGACCACAAAGACACTCGCTGCAGGACCTGGACAACATCCTTCGAATGGTCCAAATTCAGAGCCTCTTGTCACATGTGAAACTTGGATGCGTTGCGAGGATTCATGTATTCGAACTATCCCCGCTGATGTGGCTGGACCTTGCTTGCCTATCCCTCACGAGCATCAGTCTTTGGAATCGCAAATCGCCGCAACGTAACCTACACATGCCACGAGTTGAAGGCCACGCGATGTCGCCGCCCCTGGCGTCTCGCTGCCCTTTCTAGCCCAAATCCGTTTTTGCATTTCCTCGGGAGGCGATTTTCCCTCGTTGGGTTTGTCCCAAATCTCTTGTCGAGGGGGGGCGAATCTTATCCGGATACGACAAAGATTGTACGTCCGAAGGATTTGTGTCATTTCGACTTCGTCGCTCAGCCTCTCTTCCCTCCCTCTCAACGCCATGACGGGTGCCATCGGACTTCGCGGCGAGCGCATGGAGCTCAGCCATATTATGGGAAGCACGGACGGAATTACTCGTCGCACCAAGATTGTCTGCACCATCGGACCTGCCTGCTGGTCCGTTGAGAAGCTCACTGCCCTCATCGACGCCGGGATGAACGTCGCTCGCCTCAACTTTTCCCACGGCGACCACAAGGGACATGGCGAAACCTTGACCCGCCTCCGCGCTGCCATCGCGTCTCGACCCCACAAGCATGTCGCTATCTTGCTCGACACGAAGGGCCCGGAAATCCGCACGGGGTTTCTCAGCACTCCCGATAAGAAAGTCACGATTGTCAAGGACAGCATTATTGAACTTACAACCGATTACGATTTTCTCGGGGACGAAACCAAGATTGCAGTGTCGTACGAAGATCTTACCACGTCCGTGAAGGTTGGAAGCCCGATCCTAGTCGCCGACGGTTCGTTGGTGCTCAACGTCACCGAAATCCGCGAGACGTCCGTGTTGGCGCAGGCGGCCAACACCGCTGTGTTGGGGGAACGCAAGAACATGAACCTCCCCGGGGCGAAAGTGACTCTGCCGACGATGACGGAACGTGATGAAGACGACATTGTCAACTTTGGGTTGGTGCAAGGTATCGACTTTATCGCGGCATCGTTTGTTCGTTGTGGTCAAGACATCGACAACATCCGCGCGGTGTTGGGACCTCGTGGCCGCGCCATCAAGATCATTGCCAAGATTGAAAACCAAGAAGGCCTGGAAAACTACGACGAGATCCTGGCCAAGACGGACGCTATCATGGTTGCTCGTGGCGATTTGGGCATGGAAATTCCCCCTGAAAAAGTGTTTTTGGCCCAAAAGATGATGATCCGCAAGGCCAACATTGCCGGGAAGCCCGTCATCACCGCAACGCAAATGCTTGAGAGTATGATCCACAACCCTCGCCCGACGCGCGCCGAGTGCACGGATGTGGCGAACGCGGTCCTGGACGGCACGGACTGCGTCATGCTCAGCGGGGAAACCGCCAATGGTGATTACCCTGTCGAGACGGTCCGAATGATGTCGAAGATTTGCATTCAAGCAGAAGGAGCGATTCACTACGACGAGCTGTACCAAGCGCTTCGCAACTCGGTGCTTGAAAGCGTCGGTGCGATGAGCACGCAGGAAGCGATCGCGTCGTCTGCCGTCAAGACCGCCATCGACATGGGCGCCAAGATGATTGTTGTGCTCACAGAAACCGGAACGACGGCGCGATTGATTGCCAAGTACCGACCGTCGCAACCGATTCTGGTCCTGACGGCGCTCGGCGAGACGGCGCGGCAGTCGGAAGGGTTCCTCAAAGGCACGTACGCCCGCGTGATGGGGTCCATGATTGGCACAGACTCGATTCTGTACCGTGCCGCAGACATTGGCAAGCAGCTCGGATGGATCCAGCGCGGCGATGCCGTCGTGGCAATCCACGGCATGCAAGAAGCACGTGCGGGGTCGACCAACATGCTCAAGGTGTTGGTCGTCGATTAACAAGTCGTATAAAGAATAAGTGTACGTTTCCGACTGCGCTGCGTCGATGAGGTCGCGCGGGTTGTCGCTACCGGCAGGGACTTGTGGACGAAGCGATATAGCTACTGCCGCAGCGACTTGGTGAATGAAGACGGTGCTGTGTGGAGCTCGCTGCAATGCCTACGCAAGAGATCGTACGATCGTGCGGTGGAGGATGAAGCAGTGGGCGAACGTACTGCTTCCACAGCAGGTCCAGTTGCTTCGACCGCGCTTCTAGCGCATCCATGTCGTTGAGGTTTCTTGGGTCTTTGGAAGAGGGGCGCGGAGAAGATGCCGCCGACGTCGTGGACAACAGCTTGCTCTATACATCGAGGAATTGTTGAATTCACGCCTGCGGCCGTTTATGTGGCGGTCACCTTGAACTTGGCGCGTGTCGCGGTGGTACAGGCAGCTGCGACCCTGTCTTCGAGCGACAGGTCGGCGAGCGATGGGTTGTTCAAAAGCGATTCCAACCGTGCCTGGGATATCCATCCGTCAGGATCTGCTTCACAATTCGAAAGCCGAACCTTGCCAATGGCAGCGACGACGAGGTGCAGCGCGCGCTCTTCCGTGCGCTTGGCCTCAAGCAAGGCGCTCTCCAAGTCGTGGAGCCGCCTACGTTGCAAGATAACGCAATGTCAGGGCAAGAGATCACGGACCGTTTGTCTGAATCGTGGAGCTGGTGGCGTTGGGCCTGCTGCACGCACGGCACAGATCAGGCGACGATTCGGCATCTCATGCTTTGAAGGCCACGCACCTGCTTGAGTCTTGCGTTTTCAGCCTCCAAGTGGCGCACCTTTTCCTCCAGGTATCGAGCTATTCGTGCCAGAGCGGTTGGTTCGTTTATAATTCGACAGACATACTGTGTTCCTGGGCCACTTTTTCCTCCTAGGACAAGTTGATGCAGGCCATGAGTTGGCTGGGAAGGAGCACGGATACAATCGCGGTAAGCCTTACGTCGATGCCGCGAGTTCGATCCACGAGCTTCTTCTGGAGCTTGGCCACCTACATGACGTTGGTTGGACGTTGGTGGACGAATGATCCAGATTCAACCTCTTGCTGCGATCGGTTCAAGTCGGCTTTGAGCTGGTCAATGAATAGCACTAACTCAACGTCTTTGTCGAATTGGGTTCGGTCCAGGTTGGGCACCGAAATGGACGGCGCGCGAGTGAGGCGACCCTTTGTCGAGTCGGTGGACGAGCCCATGATTTGAATTGAGGCACGCTTGGAGAGTTTTGATGACGACGCGTCTCGCGCACGGGGTGAGCGGTTGAGGGACGAAATTTCAGACTCGGTGCGGTAGAGCACTGGCGACGTCGACGCGCGGCGGAGTGGACTGGTCGAGGCCTGTTGGCCCAACGTATCCTGTGCAGATATCAAGATTTCTTGCAGGATTAAGTTGGTCGTGTCGATCGGAGCTACTGGCGCAGGGGTAGTGGGAGAAGCACGCTCGGCATGTGGTGGAGGAGGCTCCATCGGGGGCGGCGGAGGCGTCGACCTCAACAACTTGGAGAAGTTCATTTGGAAACTGACATGGGTCAGTGGTTTCGGAGGCCAGTGGTAACCGGTTACAATGCAAAAGGTCCAAGGCATGATGTGCTGGGTGCGACACCATGTTCAGAGAGGATGGCATTTGCGTCATCAAAGTACGGCGGCAGCGGCGGAGGTAGCGGCACCCACCACGCTGTCCTTGAAGTTATCTGAAGCCAGCATTATGTACGGATAACACATTAACCGGATAATCACCTTTCGCTGCTTTTTTCACATTGGGCAATTGGCGATGGACGAAATCCGCGCGCTCCAACGGGAACTGGCGGTGGCCCAGGAAGAGAAAGAAGTCTTCCTCCTGTCGGAGCGGAATATAATTGACATACTTATCAAGCTGCAGGCGCTGCAAAAGGTGGAGCTCATCTTCACGTCGAATGCCAAGGCCGTGCTGACCCCCGGTCAGCTCCAGAAGGAGATTCTCGAGCACGTGCAGTCACATGCCGGCCGCGTGTCGTTGCATGAGCTCCACATCAGTATCAACGTTGGCATGAGCTACATTGAAAAGTACGCCAAGGAGATTGTGAACAACCAAAGTCAAACGAACAACGTGCACTTGGTCGGGGACGAACTGATATCGGACAATTATTTGGACACGATCATGGCCCATGTGCGTGATGGCGTGGTGCAGGACACTGGCTTTGTAGGTTGGAAGCACCCTCTATCGTGTTCTAAGTGTCTGAATCCGATTAGATCACCATCGGACAGGTGGCGCAGCAGTACGGCGTCCCTGTCGAGTTTGTGCGCGACGCCATCCATGCTCGCTTCGATTCCGTCCTCACCAACGTCCACCTGAAAGACACTGTGTTGTACACCTCCTCCTACGTCCAAACGCAGCTCGAGCGACTTGGGGACGTCGCGCGTGCCCTCACACGACCCACATTGCTGTCCGAGGTCAGATTACCTTGTGCCGGTCCATTATAATGCCGATGACAGATAGCCGCGTCATCCCCTGCGTTGGACGAGCACCTTGTCGCGGCCTCGCTGGCGGACTTGATTGCATCACATGCTGTGGAAGGCCATCTTCGCGGGCGGGAGTTTGTTCCTACTGCGTTTGTCGAGTCGCAGCGTCAAACCATCTATGACTTCTTCATCGCCAACAACTATCTGCCCCATGCCTTGGCCGCTCAGTTGCAAGTCGCCAGTCGGCCGTATGACTTTCTCAAGAAGCGGTTCCCTGACTGCATTGACTTGGACGACGTCGTGGTCTCTGGAGCGCTGCTCTTGCATTTGGAAGGTGTGGTCGAAGGGCTCCATCACGACCGCAACTCGACCTGGCTCGACGTGCGGTCAGAATTGCCGTCGTCGGCCATGGATGCCAAGAATGCCGCGAAGCTGCTGACCAAAGCTTTGGATCGAGTGAAAGCTCAGACGAAAATGTCACCTGTGACCTCTGTTGTTCAAATTGGCGGGGTGTTTGCCGTGAACGCCGCCGTGTTGACGCAAACGATGGACAAATTCCAAGACGTTGCGAAGGTGCGCGCCTCGCACGCTGCGTATGGAGCATTGGAGGTTGGATCCTCTGACTCGAAGGCGAACAAGACAAAACCTTCGACAGGCAAGGCGTCGGGTACAAAGGGCAAGGCTGCACCCCACCGCACAATTTACCTGACGCACGACGAGCAAGTGGAGCTCATCATGTCGTGGTTTGACCATTGCGAGGGCGAAGATGAATTTGTTGCTGCCTTGCTCGAGTCGCTGCACGACTCGGTGGAAGGTTGTTTCGCCACGGCGGCAGCCAAAGCAGAAACGACGATCCATCGAGGAGATTCGTACATTCGCCGCGAACTTACCGAAAGATTCGAGGCCGGGTTTCACGACCGAGTTGGACACCTCGTTGTATTTCAAAAAGCCATCAACAAGTTGACTATCAAACTCGCCATGGCGACCGACGGCTCGGAAGGACTAGCAGTCATCGAGCGAGCGATTGTGCGGTCGACGGGGCTTGACTTGAGCGCATGGGTGCTTCAGTACGTCAATGAGCACCACCAGCTCGAACTGGAAGGCGTGCCGACTATCCTTGACCCGCATTCACCTCAACCTACCATGACAATATTATCTCCCAGCCACGAACGCATTCTGAAGAAGCGTGTGACATATGCATCAACGGTGGTCGAACTGTGGCGTGTTGCCCAAGGCGCGTCGCTGGCGGACCTCATGCAGCATATCAGCCAAGTTGCGTCGGCAATGGGCATTCCGTCCAAGAAGCTGGATCGGAAGAAGGAAAAGGCGATTGTCGCCGCATTCAAGCAGCGACTCGGGCGCTCCCTCGAGGAATGCGTCCAAGATGTCGAAAGCGATTTCAACGTTATTCTAGGGATAGTCTGCTCGCTCGTGTTCTTCCGCGTGACGTCGATGGCGCTACCGCTGCCTCTGTCAGCTTCCGACATCCAGGCTGTGTATCCAGTCCTCCGCCACGCCTTTGAATCGTCCGGAGTTGCCGCGGACACCATCCAGCTCGTCGACGACATGCACCGCGCGGCGACGGAACTACAGTTGCTCCAAGAGAACCAAGTCCTCGTGCGCCGAGCGATGGATGTCCTGGTCACGGCGTAATCGATGAAGGAATGATGTGCTTGCTAATTTACAGTTTGGACAACGACCGTCTGCGAGCTTGGTGGATGTACGGTTCACGACGCCGCAGAAGAGCGGTTTGCAAGGTGACAAAACGATCTGATGCCGCTAATTTCGCTGGTGATCCGTCCACGTGACGTGCAAGAGGAGGCATTCTTCGTTTTGGTCCGTGCCGTCGTTGATGAACAAGTAGACTTTTTTCGTGCACGAAATCGAATACGGAGCAAATGCGAGGCGCAAAAACCCGTCTGCGTTGCCAGGCAGGCGCAGCGTCGGTTCGCGGGGCTTCATGATGGTCGTGTCGCTCGATCTCAGCACAAACATGCGATCGTCGTCCCATGGGTTCCGGTACGAAATTTTCTACCATGCTCGGCTCGTTAGTGCTGCGATACCGTCAAAGAAGTGCCAACCTTGAGAACGGGAACGCCGAGCGGCAACGCCACATCGAAGACTTTGGTCACAATCGGCTCGGTCGTGTTGGCATGGAGCAGCCAGGACCCCACCAATTCGTGGCTGTCAACGTCTACTTGCCCGAATGAACGCGTGATGAGAAGCTCTGGCTGAGGATGGACATACCCACGACGTTGACGAGGACTTGGGTCGCCCCGACCTCCATCGAACAAAAGTGCACCTCAATTCGATTGAAAACGTGCGGAAGGAGCTGGAAGATGAGTTCGGGGTTGAACTACACGTCGATGTCGTGAGAAGAAGACACGAAAGAGCGACGTTGCGCACGTGAACGTTGCCTGGCTGGGAGCTGTAACATCGCACTCGACGCGGCATCGTGTCCCCCTTGAGGATGAGCTCGTTGCGTACGCCTTGGCCCATTGTCGCATGCAGGTCCAACCTATTCGCACCCATGAGTATCGGAACGACGTCGACAGGGCATACCGGAGCATGGACTGGACGCAGAGCCGCCAGATTTCGTACAGCACGGCATGATACATATCTTCATATAGCAGCAAGTAAAATTCGCCGCTCGCGGGGTACTCGCCGACACGATATTTGACAAAAATCTCTTGCGGCATGTGCTTGTGCTATGCACCACCTCGCGATGAACGGCCCATGTTGCGCAATATTACCTCGATCGGCTTTGTCTCGACGACGACGCCCGCGTCGGGACACGCGACAAATTTTTCCCGATTGCACCGTCGTCCATGGGAAGGCGCTTGATTCGACGTGCAGTCGTCGTGGTCGAGGCCTGGAGGAAGAAGCTTCAAGCACCGGCGGAGGATGCCGCCGGCCGCGTGAAACAGGCGATGGGTGCGGTGGCACACAAATGCGAGTGGCTGAATGTGGATTTGCAGCACCGACACGACGTGGCCATGGGCGACACTCTTGACGTAGACCGGGACAACTCGCGATTGCTTGTGCATCTGCAGCGTCATCAAGCGAAAAGGCAGCACGACAGCATCACCGCCTTCCAGCAATATCTCGTGCAAATCGTCAATCATGTCAACTTCGACGTTGCCGGCCCCACCCATGTCGACACACACTGGGACGCGGTCGCGGTAGTATCGCCACTCGACGGCATCCAAGACGAGGACAAGCTCGGGATCGTGCCATTCGATTCGAAATCGCTCAGCGTGACCGTACGGGTTTCGCACGGGAAATTCAAAGAACAGCATGGTGCCAAACCTGGGGAAAACATGGATCGTCGTTGTGACGTGGTCCCGCAGCAACGCGTGGATAAGCGCCTTCTTGTGGCCGTCGCGGTAGTATTGGACGACTTGCAACATCTTGTTCTTCTGCGCGAGAAATGCGTCGACTTGGGCTTGGCCGTGCGTAGGTACCAAATGATTCGACATGGATGCCGCTCGAACAAGTTCCCGCTGCGACTTGGCCATGGAGCTGTCTCGGTGGTGGTGTCGGAATTGGCGCAGCCGCTCGAGCTGCCGCGCGTACACTTTGTCGTACATGGTGGCGGGTGGCACGTCGCAAATGTATCCTGCTGTCCCGAGGTCGTCGATGACGCTGAGGCCGAGTTCCATCAAGAACTGGACAAAATCAACTCGCAGGACTTCACCAGTTGGCTTTTGAGTGTATTTTCCGAGCAGCGCCGTGGCAGGGACCCCGCGGGCCAAGGCCGCCACGGCTGCTTTGCGCAGTTTCATTTCCAACATGCGCGTTTCTGGCTCGGCACTGAAGCGATACTCGGGCATGACGGTGGTGTCCATGGCGATGCCATCTCGCTGACGAGCAGTTGTTTCCTTCTTTTTGTCGTCCTGTGGTCGACGGAAATTTGTTTGAACCGGTGGCTGGGTCTGTGATGACTTGGACGATTCGCTCGACGAGACGTCGGACGTAGCGGACTTGGACGCTCTGGACGATGGCTTGTCCGACGATGCTCCTTTCGTCTCGATACTCGCGCCGTTCGAGGGCATTTTGGACAACGGGGGAACGACTTGATACAACTTTTTGAATTCGTTCAGAGATATGGACGAGTTGGTATCTTTGTCGAGTGTCTTGCACAACGTCGCGATATCTTCGGGTGTGAAATCGACCTGGAGTTGTTTCAGTGCTGATGCAAACTCATCGTACGAGATCGATCCATTTCCATCCCGGTCAAAATGGGCAAACGACTGACTCACGTCCACGCCTTTGCTTTGCGCTCGGACGAGCAGCGCGCGAAGGGTCTCCAACGGTTCCTCTCTACATACCCCTTCTTTTGCACTCACAACTTTTCGAGAGCTCGATCGGGGTGGGGGATGCGTCTCTTCTGGCACCGTCAACGTCTTGCTCGAGTACAATTGCTTGAATTCAGTCATGGCAATCGTCCCGCTTTGGTCCTTATCCAGGAGTCGATGGACTTCATCAGCGTCCCTTTCGCCATTCACGACGCCCAGCTCGGCCAGAGCTTTGTCAAACTCGGCATATGTCACGTGGCCATCGCTGTCTGTGTCGAAGTGAGCGAATGCTTGATCCACGTCGACGCCCTTGTCCTTCGCCAACAACAGGATCTTCTGGAGTTGGTCCAGCAACGGGGACGAAGGTGTCGTCCGCTTTGCTGTTTGTTGGCGAGAACTTGTGGCGATGGACGGTCGCTTCCCGGGCCCTAGAGGGGGCTTCGTGACTGTACTGTCCGACTCGGTTCTGGTTGATTTGGCTGTCGTCGACGACTCGGGTGATCCTCCTGCCCCGCTTGTATCGTACAGCGCCTGGAACTCCTTCAGGGAAACGACCCCGCTCTTGTCGCGATCTAAATGCGCTTGAATCGCAGCCACGTCATCTGGACACAAATCGAATTGCAGCGACGTTAGGCCAGTCTCAAACTCGGTTGCGGTGATTGCACCGTCGCCGTCAGCGTCAAAATGCGAAAAGGCTGCAGCGATGTCCACGCCTTTCTCCTTTGCGCGAAGAAGGAGGACTTTGAGTTTATCCACACCGGCAGTGGTCACGTCTGCATTTGAAGCGGTCGCAGGATTTGCAACCGATAGAGCGACACAAGCTTCCTTCTTGGCCTTTGCCTTGACTTCGTTGTCTGGTTGTGCCTTGGATGCCTCCTTCGCAAGCCAAGGCTTGGATGCACCCTTGCTTGAATCCCGCCCGCACTTTGGTGGCGGCTTGTACAGCTTCTTGAATTCTTGTAGTGAGATCGATCCACTGTTGTCTTTGTCCAGCGCATGCATCACACTCTCGACGTGGGTATCACTGAATCCGTCTAGATGGAGCTCATTCAAGCCCGCCTTGAACTCTGCGTACGAAATCGCGCCGTTGCCGTCCTTGTCGAAGTGTTGGAAAGCTTGGTCGATGTTGACCCCACTGTCCTTTGCCCTGAGTAGCAGCGCACGCAACCCTTCCAGAGGACTTGTTGCGCTGCCTGGGTTCTCGTTTTGTCCTGTGGATGCATCGACGGCTGCTGGAGCTAGTTGCTTGTCACCTTTCGATGGATCCTTGTCCTCGGCCGGAACGCTACTTGGCTCATCCAAGTTTGAGCTTGCTTGTTTCGTCAAGGGAGGCTGAGTCGCCTTTGCCTCGACGTCGCTGTCACTTGACGCCGCCTTTATGGAATTCGCCGACCCTTCTCTGGATACCGGTGGATGCTTCCGCTCTGCGTTTGCTGGCATGGTGTGCTCTTGCATCCACAAGACTGCGATTTTGCTCCGAGCAATCGCCCCGGCATGTTGCCCGTCCAAATCGTTTCGAATCACGACCATGTCTTCCTCCGTTAAGTCGTCCAGACCGAGCTCCATCAGCGCTGCGTCCAACTCAACGTACGACATCGCACTGTCCTGTCCATCCGACATTCCAAAAGCTTTCGCCACGTCCGCGCCGTTTTCGATGGCTTCCCGCAGCAACCGGCTCAATTTCTGGATCGAGGCAGACTCTTCGGCAATTGGCGCATGCACGGGCTGGTCCGTTCCTCCTGGCCAAGTCGAATCTGGCCATGGCGAGTCGGCGTACAACCTCTTGAATGCCGCCATGGAAATCATGCCGCTTTTGTCCGTATCCAGCGCCTCTCGAATCACCGCCACGTCGGCCTCGCTCAACGAGTCCATGTGCAACTCCAACATGGCCGCGTCAAACTCTGTGATCGAGATCGAACCGTTCCCGTCACCGTCGAAATGCTGAAACGCCAGGTCAATGTCCACACCAGTTGCTTGTGCACGCAGCAAGAACTCGCGTAGTTTCTCGACGGCAGTCGCAGCCGCCACCGTTTCCGTGGATGGTTCCTTTTTCACGGGCTTGTCGCAGTCGCCAGACTCGACAGCTTCGTTGCCTGCAGTTTCATGGGTTGCGCGCAGGTCTTTCGACGATGGCGGCTTGACGGCATCATGCTCTTCGTTGCTGCCCTTTTGGACCGTTGGAGCACCCGTGATGGGGACCCCAGTCACGTCCGTACCCTCCACAGGGGGCTCGTTCATGCTGTACAGCTTTTGAAACTCGTCCAGAGAGATGGTCCCGCTCTCGTCCTTGTCCAGCGTCGTTTGTATCGTCGCGACATCGTCGTCGGACAAACCGTCCAGCCTGAGGTCTTTGATGGCTGTTGCGAATTCGATCCGCGTTATCGTTCCATTCCCATCTGCGTCAAAGTGTTTGAAGGCTTGGTCGATGTCAATGCCAGCTGCCTGTGCCTTGCGTAGCAGCGTGCACAACATAGTGAGCGAGGTCATGGAGGCGTCTGCAGGTGCGTTCGGTTGGTTTGACTCTTGGAGCGCTGTATCGGGGAGGGCATACAGCTTCTTGAACTCGTCGAGCGAAATCATTCCGTTCTGGCCCTTGTCCAACGCGCATCGAATCTCGTCCACGTCTGTTTCTGTGATTGCTTCGAGGTGCAATGCCGTCAGCGCCGCGCTGAATTCGACATATGATATGCTTCCGTTGCCGTCCGCATCAAAGTGGCTGAACGCTTGATCCACGTCGACTCCCTTTTCCTTTGCCAATCTCAAGAAATTGCCCAACTTTGCCACACCAGAAATCGGAGTCGCTGCCGGTTTTGGTGCGTCTTGTGTCGTGGCCGCAGACGCCGACCCCTTCTTCGATCCATTCTTGGCTAGCCATGGTTTGGCTCCACCGTTGGCCCCAGCCGTCGACGGGGCTTGGGGCTTCGCGAACGGTAGCGGCTCGTACAGAGCCTTAAAGTCGTCCATTGATATCGACCCCGACTTGTCTCGGTCCAGAGCATTTCGAATGTCTACCAGGTCCGCCGCTGTCAATCCATCCAACCCCAATTGCGCAATTGTCCGGTCAAACTCTTCAAATGAAATGACTCCGTTCCCGTTTGTGTCGAATTGGCTGAACGCGTCTGCAACGTCGATGCCTTGGTCTTTCGCTTTCAGCAGGAGATCCTGGAGCTTCTTGAGGCTCGGCGCGACCTTCGACGACGCACTGTCTTGCTTGGACAACGGAGGGCGTTGTTGTCGTCCAGACCTTGTTTTACGCATGTAGTTGGTCTTGCCAGGAGCTGCTGCCGGGCTATACAGCTTTTGGAACTCGTCCAGCGAGATGCAGCCGCTCTCGTCTTTGTCCAGTGCCTGTCGAATGTTGTCGATGTCAGCTTGCGTGAAATCGAAGTTCAGCTCCTTCAGCGCCACGTCCAACTCGTCATACGTGATCGACCCATCTTTGTCTTTGTCGAAGTGGCTGAACGAGGCATGGATGTCGACGCCTTGCGACCGCGCTCGCACGAGAAGCTCCTTGAGCTTGTCTATCGGGGATACGACCATGGCTGGCTCGGCAGTGGTGGTTGTGGGCGGGGTGGTGCCGACAAATGCACCGAGCTCCTCGATCGAGATCTGGCCAGATTTGGATGTGTTGATCGTGGCAAAGAGCCCTTGAATGTCGTTCTTGGTAAAGTCAGTAAACTGGAGTTTTGCCAGACCGACTTCGAACGCAGCCAAGTCGATGCGATCTGTTGCTGTGAAGTGCCCAAACGACTGGGCCATCGCTACCCCCTGCGCTTGTGCTTTGACCAAAAGGGCTTTCAACCTCTTGGCGGGGGTGACGTCCAAGAACGTTCGAAACTCGCGCAGGGACACTGTGCCCCCGCCGTCCTTGTCTAGATGCTTGAAGATCGATTCCATTTCGGCGCTAGTCCATTGGGTCGTCCCGAGCTCGTTCAAGGCAGAATGAAAGTCGGCGTACGACACGGCCCCCGTGCTATGCTTGTCAAAGTGAGCAAATGCGCTTTCAACGTCGACCCCGTCGGCGAGCGCTTTCTCGAGCATTTTGAACAGCTTGATCGGAGGTGGGTCTTCCCTCGCGCGCGTCCTTGGCGTAGCCAGCGCAACAAACTCGTCGTAGTTGATCTTACCATCCTTGTTCTTGTCCAGGAGATCAACGATAGCTCGCATCGTGTCGCCGTTATCGTCGACTTGCATCCCGAGCTCCTTCAGTGCTGTCATGAACTCTGCCGTCGAGATTTCCCGGCTTCCGTCCTTGTCAAAGTGGGCAAAACACTGAGCGAGGTCGACGTTTCGCGCACTCGCCTCCTGGAACAGCGCCGCGAGCTGCACTTGAATGGGCTTTGCCAACACATGCGAAGCGTCCTGGCCGAACACGAACGTTAGGAACTCCTTATACGACACGGACCCGTCGCGGTTTGCGTCGCATTTGTCCAGCACAACGTTGAGCTCGGCAGGACCGAGCGGACACTTGAGGGCCTTGAGTGCCGCCTGGAACTCCATGGCAGACACTTCGCCACTGCCGTCGTGGTCAAACTGGGAAAAGGCGTCCTGCACACTAACGCCTTGGTCGGCTGCCCTCGTCAAGATGCGGCGCAAGCGCGATTGAATCATCTTGGCGGCGTCGAACGGAATTTGCACAAACGCAAGAAACTCGGCGATGTCGATGCTCCCGCTCTTGTCCTTGTCCACACGTAGCACAATCTCTTGCAGCATCGCGGCGTTCAACTGGCCGTCCAGGTCCAAATCGGTCAGCACTTTCATGAACTCGGGGTACGAAACAGCGCCACTGCCGTCGGTGTCTATGTGCAAGAAGAGTTCGCCGATGTCGACGCCTTTCGCAATCGTGCGTTTCAAGATCGCCAGAAGCGTCGCCAAGACGCTATCCGTGGCCAGGGTTTGGAGGCCCATGTGCTGAATGAATTCGAGGTACGAAATGCTTCCGTTCCCATCGTCGTCCAGCGATCGACAGAACTTGTCAAAGTCCTGGCGTTTGTCTGGCGCGACGACATATCCGACATGTTTCAGCGCCATTTCAAATTCGCGCGCCGTCAGCTGTCCGTCCCCGGACGTGTCTAGTTGTCGAAACAACGCAGCCACATTCACGCCCCGTTGCGCCGCACGGACAAACACCGCTTGCAGTTCCTGTCGAATGGACAGATGCAGGTGCTTGTTCAGGAACGCCACAAACTCGACGTAGTTGATCGTGCCATCGTGATTCGCATCGAACGAATCGACCACTTCACGGAGACTGTGTGGAGAGCACGCTTGGAATTCTGGTCCGAGAGTGTACACGCCTTGAATGAACTCGGCGGTCGTCAAAGTGCCGTCCCCGCTCGCGTCCAGCGCGTCAAACATCATTCGAAAGTCCACCCCACGAGCGAACGCGTTTAGAAATGCCTGTCGTACGTCTTCTGCCAACGAAAAGGTCGCCGCCGCTGCTTCGTTCTTCACCGGGGACACGGAAAAGAGTGCCAAGAGCGCCACCGCATCCAACCTGTTGTTCCGTGAGGTCTGTGTTTGGAACCTCCGGCACAACCGCTCGATTTCGTCCTTGGTAATCGACGTGGCATCGCTGTGCCCACGCGTGTGGTTGTTGCCGTGCGAGTTCTTGGCCGACCGACTGCACGGATTGGGATCGTACAAGTGTTCACGAACGAGAAGTTGCTTCAACTCTTCATTTGAATCTGCAAGTGGTTTTGCTCGAACTCGATGGCGCGGTCCCTTCGGAAGCAACATCGGGTCGGACGACGGGGGAGTGGCGAACCGCCAGTTGCCAGTGGCATCCGCATCGCCAACAGGCTTCACTATTGCAGGCGGGCACGCAGTTGACGACGACGCAAAGTTGCTCATGAGCAACTGTACCGCCCCAATGGAAGAATTCACCGACAGCGCCGCGGGTGCCATGGCGTCGGCCGAGCGACGCACTTCGAATTCAGCATGGTACTTCTTAACTCGCTGGCCTTGCCGCATCAATTCACGCAACGGAACAATCATCGAGCCGAGTGGGAGCAAGCTGTCACCATCCCACACGTCGACGTGCAAGGACTTGGTCAGCAGGTACGTGGCGAAGGCTGCCGCCTCCAATGGACACTGCTTCGTCGTGTGGAGTTCGAATTGGATGGCCAGCGACGGCTTCTTTGCATGGTCTCGGCAGAGCAAATACGTGCCAGCGGCTGGTGTCGATGTCACCACAAGACGTTCCGACTTGGTCGGCTCGAACGTGTAAAACTGAAACGAAAAAAACAATGACGCCGGAAGCGGAGGCGTTGGCGGGCCACCAGAAGGGGCCACCGCGAGGGCGCGAAATGCAGCAAACTGGAATTGAATCTCCAAGAGATTCAGGCCGTCTTTGAGTTCATCCTCGACAGTCTTTACGGGAGGTAGCGGCCGCATGACTGAGGGCGGAATATGCTGCTTGTTGTTGTCAACTGGAACAGACGTGACTGTGTCGTAAAACCCATGCCGAGTCAGGAGCGACTTGGATGCACGAGATAGCTCGTAGCTGGGCGTAGGATCGTCTGTGATAACGGTGGTAGGAACGTCGTTGAATTCGAGGGTATGCTGGGGATGGTGGGGAGGCTGATTGGTCGCGCGCTTTGTCGGCGACGTGGCGGCGGACTTTTGTAATGGTGCTTGCAACGTCCTTGCGAGCGCCGCATCCAGTTGAGCTTTTTGGTAGAGGTCCCGAAGCCACGCGTCTCGATCGGTTTCGGGTTTGGTGTCGTTCTTCGTTTCTTCGTCATCGCCCTCCGACTCAGACGACATCGCCGCGCCTTCGACGAGTAACTCCATGTCGCAAGAGGCAAACGATTCCTCGAGCTTGCCTGCTTTCAGCGCATTCTTCCACACAGGTGACGTGTAAATGACATTGTCCGAGTACGGCCGCGCTTTCGTTCCGCTCATGAGCTCCACATGCATCGGCTCGTCCTCTGTAAACTTGAGTGATTCTTCCAGTTCAAGCAAATGCTTTTGTTCGCACCTCGTTGATCTCGCAACAACGACCGATCGTGGTAGTAAAATTTCTTGCCGTCGCTCGGAACCAACGCGCGCGCGCCTATCGTGACGACAACAACGTCTTCGGTCGGCAACGGCTCCTTGTCATTCTTAGGCTTGGCGCCTTTTGGCCACACGAGTCGAAAATGCACTGTGCACTGCAGTAGAACGACGACAGCCACGAGCGGACTCAGCGTGTATCCTTTTAGCTTCACGGACTCGGTCACGGCGGTCAGTGTATTGCTTCCATGTTCGCATTTGAGTGGCACCGTGTGCTGGCGCGTGCGGAAGCACCGTCCATTGTGCAAAGCCACCTTGAGGACGCGCGTCGCTACTTCGCCGTGGACGGACTCGACATCTTTGTGGATTAACTTCCGCGTTTTTGCAAGCCGCTCGATCAAGTCTTGTTCGAGCTCTTCGCGGAGATGCACAAACGCTTGGACGGGGGTGACGACGATCGAAAAGTCCTCGGCCATCGCGATTTCCCGTGGGATTTGAAACACCGCGACGTTTGCTTGGGTGCTCCCCACCAGGTTGTCGCCTTTCAAACCGGGTATCTTGTCCAACGAGCTCACGATCTCGTTCTTTCGAACAAGCGCGTGTAGCTTGGTGAGGCCGTCGTGGAGGTGGACGTGATAGAGCAGCTTGCAACCTGCGACTTTGGTTTGGTTTTGCCAGTCGGCCTGGTTTACCACGTACAAGTGTCGTGGCGACCCTGCGAATACGTTCACCGTAAGCGTTTCGTGCGCCAGCCCCAGCAGCTTTTGGCCGAACATTGGCAGCAAGCACCAACCGCAGCCATGTGACGCTGTGGTCAGAGACGATGCCGGGTCCTTCTCGAACGCTACAAGCTCGACAACAGCCACACAATTTGGATCGACTACATCCGAGATAAAGCCGACAGAAATCTGAACAACGACGTCAGCTTTGCCATTGTCGAGTAGCTCGGGGCTGAGCCACGTGTTGCCAAAGAATCGCTTTGTGAGGCTGTGGAAAAACGTCATCTGAAGGCCATACGTGAGCATGGCACCTTCCAGTTGCTCTGTGAGCGGCCAATTCTTGACCAAATGCAAATCGACGCTGTAGCCAGACACCTTGTTTACTCGGGCCGGCGCAAGAGGTCCCTCCGGAACAGGCATCACTAGGTTTTCCTTCCGGAACCGTTCAAACACTTTCTCTCGCTCGGGCCAGAGCTCCGACCCACGTTTTCCCTTGAGCTTCGTAGGCAGTTTGGGTTTTGTCTTGATGACAGGTTTCATCGATGACTTGCGGCGCTGCACCGGTGGTTGGAATTGTGCAACTGGTCCCGACTTTGAATTCGATTTGCTTTCCTTCGAAGTAGCATTCGATGACGCTGTCGACCTCAATTGAGGCGTAGGTGTAGATGGAGTTACAGTGCTAATCGCTCGTTGAGGTTGTGGTGAGGTCGGTTGTTGCTGCGATTTTGTCGGACCCGGTGATTGTGCAGTTGGTGCCTGTCGTGACACAGGGCTAGTTGGCGTCGCCAGGTTGGGTCGTTGAGCTGGAATCTGCTTTTTGGTGGTGCTGGTCGCCTCAGCTTGGGCGCTGGTTGCCTTGTCGGGCAATTGAACCACCTCGGGCATGCTTGATCACGGTGGACGTCTTGAACGGCGCCGAGCACTGTGGCAAACTTTCTGCGTGCCAAATTGTTCGATCTCTTTGAAACGGCTATTATCTTGATTGGTTATAAATCAAGGTTAAAGTTCACATTATTGGATGAATACCAAAAGATTATTACCCAATCGTATGCCATTTGAATTCACCCAATCAGTATTCGAATTCTACCACTACATCGTTCATCATGATGCGGTGGACGAAGATGCGCGCATTGCATGGCCCGGCCATGCGGCGGCGTTTGTCGACTGCTGCGTCCAAACCGCAACTTGTTGCATTTAACTCGCTCACTGGACAGCTCGATGCGTTTCCTACGTCGTCATCGCCGTTGAAATGGTACGTGTGTGGACCGACTGTGTACGACAGTGCCCACCTTGGCCATGCGCGAAGCTACGTGAGTCAAGATATCTTGCGTCGCGTGCTCACACAGCACTTCCATCAAGAAATCTTCTTGGTGATGGGGATGACGGACGTTGACGACAAGATCATCGCCGCTGCTGCCTCGCAACAGACCACCATGACAAACATTGCGCGAACGAACGAAGCGGCGTTCTTGCGCAACTTGGCTGACCTGAACGTCCTCCGAGTATCCTCTATCACGCGTGTCAGCGAACACATTCCAGAAATCATTGCGTACATTCAAGGTTTGGGCGCGAACGGGTTTGCGTACGTCACGTCGGACGGGGTATACTTCGACACCGTCGCGATGGGAGCGAAGTACGGCAAGTTGGCACCAAACACGCCGCAAGAGTACGACAATGTCGTGCCTGAAGACGGCGCCGTTGGAGGGGAGAAGCGAAACGTGCGGGACTTTGCCCTGTGGAAGCTGTCCAAGTCACCGGAAGAGCCAGGGTGGGAGTCGCCGTGGGGCCGGGGCCGCCCGGGGTGGCACATCGAGTGCTCTGCCATGACACACCACGTTCTTGGCGACGCCATCGACGTGCATTCCGGTGGCGTGGACCTTCGGTTTCCTCACCACAACAACGAGATTGCCCAGTGTGACGCGTACCACCACCACGCGTGCGGTACGAGTGGTTCATGTCTTGGTCCATCGTTCCCACTGTGATTCGGTCGTAGATCACACGTGGTGCAAACACTTTGTACACTTTGGTCACTTGTACATCAAAGGCCTCAAGATGTCCAAGTCGCTCAAGAACTTTATCACGATCGACAGCCTCCTGGAAACGTACTCGGCCGACACGTTCCGCGTCTTCTGCCTCCAGTACAAGTACAACATGAACGTGCACTTTTCCGAAGACCGCATGCGCGACGCGAGCGCGATTTACCAGCGCTTCCTCTCGTTTCTTCAAACGCTTCAATCGCATGTCAAGGCCGCTGCCCACAGTCCACGTACGCTGCACTCCACGTGTCCAAGTGTTTGTTTTTCTGACGTGGACGGAGCGTTGTAGTGTCGCGACGCGTCGACGGCGTCGATCACACCGTACTGGCTGCCCTGGCGCAATGCAAACAGGATGTGGATATTGCGATGCGACACGACTTTGACACGCCGCGCGCCCTCCAACATCTCTTGGATCTTATCTCGCACACCAACAAGACATGGAAAGACCATCCGTCCATGTCGGTCGAAGTGTTGTGCACCGTTGCCACGTATATCGTGGACACGTTGACGCTGTTTGGTCTCGCGACGCTGCGATTTCCTTCGCTGCGGTTGGCAGCGCCTGTCGCGGACGACGCCACCTCGTTGAATTCGATTCAAGCGAACGACGTGATGGACGCTTTCACAACGTTTCGCGCCAATGTCCGCGCGTTGGCGCTCACCAACACGTCCGACAAAGTGGCACGGGATATCCTCAACCTGTGTGACAATGTGCGGTGCGTATTGCATCGATGTCCCTTTCGGTCGTGGCGTGACATGCTTTAGAGACGTTGAATTACCAGCGCTGGGTATTCAACTTGAAGACGTTGCCCCGGGGAAATCCTTTTGGAAGCCCCAGCAAGGCGACGACGTGGCGGCTGCCGTCGACAAGTCGTCGTCCGAAAAAGCTATTCTTGCGATCAAGGCTGCCGAGTTTGAGGCCGAGATGCAGATCGCACCGGCCTCGTACTTTTGCCAGTCTCGTCAGTTTCAGGGAAAGTTCACCGCCTTCGACGACCAGGTACGGGAGAGTCTTTGCCACGTCCTGGGCTCAGTTCATTGTCGGTGTAGGGCTTGCCAACGCACGACGCGGATGGTGTGGAACTGACCAAGACGGCGCGCAAAAAACTCGCCAAGAAGCTCGACAAGCATGCCAAGTCGTATGAAAAATTTTGGAGAAAATCCCCTTGAAATATATGTCTTTCGACACGCTAGCTAATTTGTTGTCCATTTTGAACCGGGAAATGTGTACAGAATAACAGGACAGGCCGTTGCAAAATTCAAATTAGCACCTTACATGGAGCAGATTGGTCCACGTGGCTGTGTTCGGCGGCCCGCCTAGCAATTTGAGTGCTGTCGAAGGTGGCCATGTGGAAGTCTCTGAAAGGCCTCGATGCGTATCCCAAGACGATGGAAGAGTTCAAGGTCCGCACGACACAAGGCGGCATCAGTATGTGCTTTCTACGTATGTGCGCTGTGCCTCACGTGCAATGTTAGTCTCTGTCGTTGCGATCGTCCTCATGGTCGTGCTTGTCATCTCGGAACTCAACTTTCATCTCATGGTGGTGCGTGTCCCTTTGATGTGCTGCATTCTCTGCGGGATGATTATGAATTCGATGGACATTAGGACACGGTGGACAAGATGTACGTCGACGGCGAGCGTAACGTCAACCTCCTCATCAATTTTGACATCGACTTCCCCAAGTATGGCAACTTTTCTCGAAACGCGGACATTTTCACGCATTCTCGTGTAGAATGCCGTGCTCCATTATATCGGTGGAACATGGGGACATGCAAGGCCGTGTCCACGTACAGAGCTAATATCTCTTGACACTTCTGACGTCTCAATCGGTAACTTCATAGCTGGACGTCATCGACAACATCCACAAAATCCGCCTCGATACGAATGGTACGTGGCGCAGCAGTACATGTGCCATGGCCCCTCATATTTTGCATAGGCAACTCGCTTGGCGAAATGGTCAAGCACGAGGTACATCCCGCGGTGCTTACTTCCGTCAAGTTCCGACTAGATGGGGAACGCCCTCAAGGAAGAGCACGTCAAGAGCCATGTAGACAAGTAAGATCCATGCGCCATGTCCTGTTCGTAGGTCATTCGATCATGCGTTGCAGGGGCTACTACTGCGGTAGTTGCTACGCCGCCGGCGAGCCTGGCGACGTCAGTTTGTTGCCGCTCCCGACGTCAGCTCTCATCTTGATGAGATAGTGCTGCAATACCTGTGACGACGTCAAGAAGGCCTACGCTATCAAGAACTGGGCCATGCCGAGCATGCATTCTGTGTCGCAAGTACTGTTGGCGACGCCACATATATCGCACGCAGGTTCCTTGAGGCTGATGTTGACGCTGGTGATACAGTGCATGAACGACGAGCTGGAAGGAATCTTGAACGGCACCGTAAACGAAGGATGCCGCATTTTTGGCCACTTGGTCGTTGCCAAGGTATGTCCTGCGCTTAATCTCGACATGGATCAAAATGGCGTGTGGATGCAGGTTGCGGGGAAATTTTACTTTGCGCCGTCACGAATCTTTGAAAACGGCTACTTGCTTGACAAGGACATGCTGGACTTGACGTTCCGGTCTTTTGATAACACGCACAAGATCAAGACCCTCACGTTTGGAGACGAGTACCCAGTACGTCGTCCGACTCGCACGATTTGATGGACCTCGCGATGACGACGAATGAGTAGAACATGAAGAACCCGCTGAACTCGCGCAACAAGACGCTTCCTGCTGACCAACGCGGCGCGTACCAGTACTTTCTCAAGGTCGTGTCCACCGACTACACGTTCCTCAATGGGGATGAGATCAAGTCGAACCAGTACTCGGTCACGGAGCACTTTTTGCAAATGACCCCCGCGGGACACAAGGGCCTTCCTAGCGTTTCGTTCGCATATGATTTCTCACCGATCAAGTTTCGCATCGAGCAAACGCAGAGCGGTCTCCTTCCCTTCTTCACCAGTATCTGCGCTATTGTCGGTGGAGTGTTCACAGTACGTTTCGTCGTCCGTTCGCTGACACCACCCCCGCTTGACGCTTGTCTGATGCGCGCAGGTGATGGGGCTCGTGGACTCGGCGATGCACCAGCTCTCGACCAAAGCAATCAAGAAGCCGACGCTTCTTTAGAATCGCACGATGGATGAGTCGAAAAAAACGCAATTGGACCTTTTACTCCATGTAAGCTAAACGAGCAAAACAATTTGACGACAGAGGGACGAGCAACCGGTTTCAAGACGACGCCACAAAAGCGACTGAGTGAAGTTCAAACACAGGAAAGTTGTCCGCCACAAGAATAGGATCATGGCGCACACTGCAGCAGAGTCTAGCCGCAACTTTGGCCGTCGTGGATTCGTTTCGTTGGAGTTGTGTACCCGTTTTGCGCGTTTTTGCATGCGACTGGAGAAAAAGCGCCAGGTTCCATGGGGTGATGGATGCTTCTTTGACTCTATCGCAAGGTATCGTGGCTGCGATATCCTGAGCATTGCTTGTGGCGTTACTTGATTCGTGGTGGTTGAGATCGCGTCCACCGCCGTTGAACGCATACGTTTTTATAGATCGAAAGTATAACGTGGCAGGGACGATCATGCGTTTTATGCGGCGCGCACCACAATGAAATTCTCGGAAAGGGAGTGGATCCGCTAAAGTCCGAATCGCACTTAGAAATCTGTCGGTATTTCAGTGGTTGAGGTGGGGCTGTCAGAACTTGATCTTCAGCGGCGCCGCCATCATGACGACGACCACACAGGCCGCCCTCGCTGTGCAGGACTTGACCACGCTAGACGTGAAGACGTTGACTCCACTGACGCCTGACGTGATCTCTCGTCAAGCGACCATCAACATTGGGACGATCGGTCATGTCGCCCACGGTAAATCCACGGTCGTGAAAGCAATTTCGGGTGTTCAAACCGTTCGATTCAAGAACGAATTGGAACGTAACATTACGATCAAGCTTGGGTATGCCAATGCCAAGATCTACCGATCGGAACCACAAGCACCGAAGGTTGCTGCGTCGGATGACGTCGCTGCAGCCCCGGCGGCCCCCGCTGGCCCCATGTACTCTGCATTTGGCAGTTCTAAACCCGACAGATTTACCGACGACAAGGGTGTGACGTGGGCTCTCCAGCGCCACGTCAGTTTTGTGGATTGTCCCGGTCACGATATTCTCATGGCGACGATGTTGAACGGTGCTGCTGTCATGGACGCCGCGTTGTTGCTGATTGCAGGTAACGAAGTGTGCCCGCAGCCCCAAACGTCGGAACACTTGGCTGCCGTCGAAATCATGCGCTTGCAAAACATCATTATTCTCCAGAACAAGGTCGACTTGATCAAGCCGGATGCGGCGAAAGCGCAGCACGAGCAAGTGAAGCAGTTTGTCGCGGGGACGGTTGCTGCCAACGCTCCGATCATCCCGATTTCCGCCGTGCTCAAGTATAACATCGACTTGGTGTGCGAACACATTGTCCGAAACATCCCGATTCCGCTTCGTGACTTTACGAGCAAGCCCAAGCTGATTGTTATTCGTTCGTTCGACGTCAACAAACCAGGACAGGACGTCGAGTCGTTGGAAGGCGGAGTTGCTGGTGGTTCGATCCTGCAAGGGGTGCTCCGTCTCGGTGACGAAATTGAAGTGCGACCAGGTATTTTCTCCAAGGACGACGATGGCAAGGTCAACTGCACGCCCATTTTCAGCCGCATCGTGTCGTTGAAGGCCGAAAAGAACGACTTGCAGTACGCCGTGCCCGGTGGGCTCATTGGTGTCGGCACGCTGATCGACCCAACCCTGACGCGGTCGGATCGGTTGGTCGGCCAAGTGTTGGGGTTGAAGGGCAGCCTGCCTGACGTGTTTACAGAGCTCGAAATCAACTTTTACCTCCTTCGGCGTCTCCTCGGTGTCAAAACGACGGAAGGGTCGAAGGGGTCGCGCGTCGAGAAGCTCACCAAGGCCGAAGTCCTCATGATTAACATTGGGTCGACCACGAGTGGCGCCAAGATTCATGCCGTGAGGGCAGATTTGGCCAAGATTGTCCTGACGCAGCCCGTGTGTACACAAGAAGGCGAAAAGATTGCGTTGAGTCGCCGAATTGACAAGCATTGGCGACTGATTGGGTGGGGCGAGATTCGGCGCGGCACCAAGATTGAAATCGCATAAGGAGCAGCAACCCGGTAGCCAGAGTAGGAGTGGCCATCCAACCACACCGTCATCAATGGATCATTTAGACATATTCAACTGTGCCACTCGCGTTGCAAGGGCGTGGACGCCACCATCATGCACGGGGGATTGGGCAGGTTTTGGTAGATGAATAGCTTCCTCTGCAACGGAGTCGGCAACATTCGATGCAGTCGTCTCGGGAGCGACGTTGCTGAGTGCCTCCAACTCGGCCGCCAGGGCATCGTCGTCGAACGCGACGCCAGGCGCTACGTGCGGCAACGTGACCAACTCGACTCCAACGAGGGATGGTGTACCTGTGGACGAGAGCAAGACATCGATCTGCGATGCTTCATCTGCCACGATTTGCCACTCGGCGACTGCGTCGTCGACCGCGTTCGCGGTCAGACCGAGCGAGTCCCGGACATGGTGCATGCTCGCAGAAGCAACCTTGTACCCGTCGACGACCTGGACTATCGCGTTGGAGACAAAGCCGAAGCAAGCAACGTCGCAGTCTCACCAGGGCTTGAACATGCATGTCTCGAAGTTGATGCTCTGTCTGAAGCAAATTCAATAGCCCTGCTTGCCGTTGCGCCAGGCTGTCGCCGAGAGTTTTACTGTGGCGCAAATACACCAGCGCGTCGGTCAAGTTGTTGGCCCGTTTCCGCGCCACGGCTTTGGCTTTCGTCTCGTCCATCTAAACGTTTGTTGCTGTGAAGTGAATGGTCTACTTGTCGTCGAGACGAACCTTTGCTTGTAGCTTGGCCATCGAAACCTCTAACGTCGCGATCATATGCTGCAGCACCAGCAAACTCTCGTCCCCTGCAGTCACCAACGCGGGGCTTTGCCCTCGGTGGATTTTTAGTAGCTACAGCGCGAACCCGTTCAGAACGTCACCAATGCGAGGTTGGCTTACATCGCCGCGGATTACAGCCTGCTTGGACCATGCTAAATACTTGGCAATCCACGCAAATTCTGTCGGCGCGAGGTCCTTCAGAATCGACGGGATTGCCATCTCGTCGGAGATAGAGGCACCCACACGAAGACAAAGTGCGTGGAACGAACAGCTCAATCGCGGACCACACGTCGCATGGTCGTTCTGGCTCAAGCAAAACGTCCGCTCTGTCGGTTCCAGTTCCGACATGACAAAATCGACAATGGCATGTGCGATGGTCTTCAAAACTTCCATCGGCAAATACGGTCCTGGAGGAATCCTGCGGGCAGCCGAGGAAGTAGACGACTCATCGTTCCACAGAGAGTGTAGCGAATGGAGACCCCATCGCGCTGGAGTCACAACAGCAGTTCGAAACAACCACCTGCGTCATTTGGTCAGTTCATCGTGGGCAATGAGAACACATGCCTGACCTTGGCAACGACACCTGCTCACACATGGCCTGAAATTCCTCCAGATGAATTAAATCTTTGTCTTGAATCATGTGTGACTGCACACAGCGACAGTTAGAACAAGTGATGCTTGCCGATGGAACGCACGAGCACATGATTGAGTACGACGGGGACGGGCTCGACGCCTTTTCTGACAAAGCGACGTGCAAGAGACTCAGGAAAAATGAGCAAGGACGGTGTCAGTGCCGAGTTCTTCGAGTTGTCTGTCGCTCGTCCACTACAACCGAAGCGTGAGAATCGAATCCTGTAAGGTAGGAAACCTACCGCAACGTCCACAGCACGGCAGGTTTCCCTGGACATCCACTTGAGGCGAGTACATGAAGAGATGCGACTCACATGCGTGCAACATCTTGGCGTCAAAGATCGCGCTGGAGCTGAACAGCGCCTCCATTCGGTCATCGTCATCCCATTCCTCGAAGAATGCCATCGTCCCGGCCAATATGTCGATTCCGAAGAAGTCGTTCACATGCTGCTCTTTGATTGGGTCAAGCAATCCTGCTATCGGATTGGTCCGCTGAATCGAGGTTTTGACTGAAACGGCTTATGCCGGCGACGGTTGGTGCGTCCGACTTGGCGAGTCTGGAGGGATGGCTGACCGGCCGGCGACTACCTTCAGCACGTCTGCCTCGAGCAGTGTGGCATCATCGGCGCATGGCGACTACGACAGCTGCACGGACAATCCACCGCCACGTGTGCGATCGAATCGATCGGTGCGTCGGCAGCACTCCACTCGTTGCATTGCGACTTCATGCATCCCTGGCTGTAGGTATCCATTTTGGACAACCGTGACGCAAAGGTAAAGAAGTTTTGTCCATCCGACGATACCGTCTTGAAGGAAAGCCTCCAAGTCCAGCAAAGTTCCAAGACCTGCGTGACGACCGCGACCACTCAGCTCAAAGTCCTGTGCCGCAAGTTTGCCGTCCTGTCGGAAAAAGTCAAAGTACGTAGCTCAACAATAGAGAGAAATCAAGTGATGTTTTCATGCAGCAAGAGGCCAAGATGCGCGAAGACGCCGAGAAGGAAGTCCGCCGACTGAACGCAATCATTCAAGGTACGAAAAGGCGACGTGGATGGCGTGAACCGTGTCCGATATCGTAGATGCGACAAATCCATTGATCACGTCGACGCGGTCGGATGCACAGGTGCGTGAACAACCCTGCGATGGGCATCGCTAAAGCGATGACTAATAGCAATACCTCCGTGCGCAGAAGGACGAGTTGGCGGCCGTGCGGGACGAGCTGCGTCGAACGAAAGAAGAGTTGTATCACGTCACGCAGGCCTACGACAGGCTTCGCGCCGAGTTGGATCAGTTCCACCACCATCCTCCACCGATGCCGCAGCCCGTCCATCACCACCAAGAGAGCATGCTTGATTCCCAAATCCAATGGGATAGGGAGCAGTCAAGTCGCATTCACGACACGTTGTCGTGCACGATCGCGGAACTGCATGACGAGCTCCATGCGAAAGAGGTATGTTGACGCCGCAGGAGATATACTGGTCTTGATTGTGTGGCCTCCGCAGGTCGAAATTGAATCCCTGCGAGCGAGTGTGCAACGAGGTACGACGAGGTGATGGGAACGGTCGTCCAGTCAACTCCATCCCTGGAATGAGTATAGAGAAAGCCAAGCAAAGGGAAATAGAGCAAATGACCGCGTCGCTCGAAGCGCAAAATAGCCAAGACAAGGACCAGTTGTCGAAAGTTACGCAAAGTTTGCGAGACATGACGCTGAGCCATGCGAACGAGATCGAAAAGCTGCATGTACGGCAGCACCTCCGTTCCTGCCTTATGAATCTGACCCAACATGGAGGGCAGGTGGCACAGGACACCATCAACGAAGAACGGACGGTCAAGGACGCTTTACAACATCAAGTCTCAACGCTGCATCAAGTCAATGATGCGTTGCAAAAGCGTTGTGATGCTCTCGTCCGTCGCCATCAGCTGAACGCGACCTTTCTCGCGGAAGTAGGTCCTGCGTTGGTTTGAGTGGCGGCCGTGACTCGGCTTACGTGTTGTGATCGTAGGCACAAGGGCTCAAGACCCAATTAGCAGAGCTCGAGACACAGCACGAAGCGCTCGTGAAGGATGTGAGTTCCTACTGGATGGCACTACTCGACGGGAGAAGTATCGGCCTGACTCGCTTCGCGGTGTGCAGATGCGCGACGCCAAGCAAGCTCATTACCAAGACGTGGAAGCTCTCAAAGCCACGCTCCACGAAAGCCAGTCAGCGACTCAAGACGCGGAGAAGCGCGTGATGGAACTGCAAGGCGAGCTCACGGCTGTGGTGCGTCCATCGCAGCCGCAAATTCTTGTTTGCTTCATCACACTCGTGTAGCGCATTCAACACAACACCATGTCCGAGTACATGATATACGACCCCAAGCGAGCCCAACCGATCCCATCGACTGGCTCAGACAACCACAGGTACTTCCACCTGCACAGGACTGGCGTTGGCGTCATATGCGTGTGCAGAGTGGGGAGCCACTACTCCTTCCCCCGCATCTCGCCTACGTGTGCTGGTCACCATGCCCCGCCACCAGTGAGGTCGTCCTACCATCCACGCTCGCACCATTCCACGACTGCCCCACATGCAGCTCCCCATTCAGGGCCATTCTCGCGCCCTTCACCAGTGTCGCAGCCGCATCTTTCCGGTCCTCAGTGTCCCTCTTCCCACCAACCTCAGTCGAACAATGTCCACGGGATTCCCCATCCAGGATACCTCGCTCAAAGCTCGCAGGGGACCCCACAAAGCTACAGCGACTCCTCTAAGGTATTGCTTTCGACCATGACTCGGTTCTTTACAAGAGGCGATACAGCACAAAATTGCCCCACCTTCGCGAGATCCATTCTACTGTGACACGTATCGACCGGAGCTGGAGCGTCGCCCCGCGGTTGCAGTCGTCAGGCACTACGATCCAGAGAATGAACAGCCCAAAACCACAGATCTTCACCACCACTCTGTGCCTTTGGTGACTGATGCCGCCACATCGCAACCTACCTTGGATGGCCGATCCAGTACAATCAGCAGCACCCGCTCGACAGGAGCAAATGCTTCATCGAGCGCATCAGACCACAGCATCCTGCGTGCGCTAAAGAGTCGCAACAAGCAGCTGCAGGAGCGCCTGCAACAAGAAGCGGACGCGACGTTCCAACTCGAGGAAGAGATCAACATGATCACGTCATCGTATCACACTTTGCTGCACCCCCAGGACAACTAATGCTTGATCATAACGAGAACATTCCATGCTGTAGCTCAAAAATGTGTTGGACCACGGAATACTCTTTCAGAAATTCTTGAGGTTGGTGGTGTTACGACTTTGCACGCAAAATGTCCAATTCGGGGGGTCGTGTGGGGCGCTGGCCTGCAATCCATCTCGTGAGTCAATAAGACATCAAGCAATAAAATCCTCACCTTTTTCCAGCCGCGCCAAGTTCTCGCGTGTAATTTTGTCTTCTAACTCGTCCGCTTGGATGTCGTACAGGCTCTTGGTTGAACTCCTTTCGTCCACTAAATCCCAGCTCTTGGACCGGCCTGTATTAGATGATGGTGCGGTGCCAAACTTCTGCGCATACACGGAAAAGATTTTGCCAAAGTTGCGTCGAATATCGTTGACCACGTAATCGTCCCTTGTCACATTTGCGGTGATTTTTGCTTGATGGAGCTCGCAAGCCATGAGCGATTCAAATTGCGCACGGACATCGGTATCGCGTCGTCGAAGAGCCGCCAGACACAGCTCGTCTTCTTCGATCTGCGACGTCAAGTCGGAGATCTGGACATCCAGTTCGTTGGTGACTGCACTCGCACCAAGTGACTCGAATGCGTCCAGCTCAGCCCGCGCTTTGTGTTGCTTCACTTCGGCGTCCAATATGCGATTTTTCATGAACTGAACGCAAATGGCTTGCGCCGAGGTGTACCGCAGGACTCCATCCAGGTGCTGCTGCACTGTCGCAGTTAACTTCTCTGTCAACGAAGTCGACGATAGTGTGTCCAGCGTTGCTCGCAGATCGCGAAACGTGCCGATGATACCGTGTTGCTTCTCCAGCCCTTGCAACGATGCCAATGACGCAGAGTTTTCCAATCCAAGCTGCGCCAGTTCGGCGTCATACGCGCCTTCGATGGTCGCAATGTCGCCCACAACCTACAAGACAACCCGAGTCATGGACCCAATAACAAAGTATATACAACTACCACACTACCTCAACTTGCAGCTGCGTGAGGATGGACATGCGGGCCTCTACGTCAGCCATCAAGATGCGCAATTCGTTATGACGCTGCTTCAGTGCCGTCAATTCGCCTGCAAATTTCTCTTTTCGCTCTTGCAATGGGGCAAGCCGCTCTTGACGCTCTCTGCGTACTTCTGCTAGGCGAGTTTCAATGGACGTTGTAGTGTTCAGCTCCAACGCCTGCACGTTGTGTGGCGTCGACGTGGCTGCAATCAGTGCGGGGCTGGCCGTGGACAGGCGGCGGCTCTCAGCCGGTTTTACTAGCTCCAACAGCGTCTCCAGCTTCTTAGCGCTCACAGTAAGCGCGTCACTCCGCAGGTCTCGTCGACGGAACGTCTCACGAATGGACTGACCCCGGATCGTGTTTTCGTTGGCCAGCGTAGCTTTGAGTTGGTCGTCCATGGTGGAAATGGATGTTGCGAGATCGCAAGCCTTCCCAATACTGTCGACGGACAAGCGATGCGTGTGCGAGTCGACAATCAAGTCGTGCAGTGCTTGGGCGACTTGTGGAACCAGTGCCGTCGCGACAGACGTCGTGTCATCACCGCCATTCTTGAGCTTCTTTAACATGCGGATCGAATCTACAATCGACCGAATGCTCTGAACGACAATGCGCGCCGCATCGACTTTGGTCGACGACGATGGCGAAGAATCCGCACTTGCATAAAAGGGAAAAGTGCCCAGGAGAAGGTTTGACAGGAGGTGCGTCAAGGTGTCGTAGATGGCATCGTGGGTAGGACAGACACGAAAAAAGTTCTCCAAGAGCAGCGTCAGCGCGCGGCTTTCAAAAAATAGCGTGAGTACGTCTGGACTGAGGGACATGCGACTCCATTCCACAAGTCCCATCAGACCAGCTTTGAGGTCTGTGTGAGATGCCGCTTTTTCCAGACGCGTGGACAGCGGTAATGACAAGAGATCGTCATCCCCCTTTGGCCGCGCAGTCACTTGAGTGCCTAAGGGAGAGGCATTGTGTCTTCGTTGGATTTCCACTTCGACACTGTTGGACCGGTCACTTCGCACGACTACAACTGTGCCTGGGTCGTCAACGTCGTTGTCTTCCAAGATCGTGGACTCTACGTCGGAATCCTCTTCCTCCTCCACGCCGCCAATGGACCCAGCCGCGGACGCGACGTCGCCATCCACCCCGGCCTTTTTCTTCTTTTTCTTCTTCTTCTTTTTCTTCTTGCCAATGGACAACCCCTCTGTCTGCGTCGCCACCGATTCCATCATGATCTCAGTCGCCGATCCTTTGGTTCCCGTTGATCCAACATCACTCCTACACAAGTCGTGATCTTAGAATTTCTCCATCCATCGCCAGGGCAAGTAGTCTCCCGCGAAAAGCATACCCATGGCGCAGTTTACCGCTCATCCAGTCCTGTGGTGCGCGCGATGTACCAGCACGTGTTACTTCAACCACTGGGAGAGTCATTTTTTATAATTGTTCCACCCGTCAAAGTACCTACATACTTAAACACTGGTAAACCCGTTCAATAAAATAAAAACTCCAATTGACGCTGTGGCCAGTTATTTAATTCCCCGCTCGATGAAAAAGTACAAGTGCTCACACGACAAAACGTGGTGCATTCCGCACCCTCTTTTTGTGCAGAGGTACGTTATCCGGATGATGGTGGATCTTAAACCGCCATGGATGAGTTCTCGCGGCAAGTCCGCGCCCGCATCCGCCTCCATTACGCGATCAAAGATGCCAGGCTACCAGCAGAGACGTACTGTGGTGTACGTCGTCGAGACGTTGATCCTTGAAGCTGACCCTGTGGCGATAATCTAGCTGTCGGACGAAACAGTGCACTCGGTGGGACAATCTGGATGCTACTGCCGGGACTGCCTCATTTTTCGCAAGCACGAGTGGCGCATTGGAGACATGAACTCAGCTGTTGTGGGTCCACGCGACGAGGTGGCCTCTGTGTTGTTCTCTTGCACCGTAAACGGCGTCTTTGTCTGGCTGTAGTGTCTGATGTACTGTTGGGGCGATGGCGAAAGAGGTCCGTTGTGTTCGCGAGACACGGCCCCGGTGATCGGTCCGCTCCTTGTCCCGCCCATCCTGGAGACCATTACCATTCAGGATTCGTCAAAAAGACGATGGAAAATCGAACGGGATGCGAAATTTACAGCAGTAACCACGTCGCACCATCGCGCTTGCTGCCACGTCGTTGACCTTGACCGAGCAGGTTGCGTCGGGAAAATATCATACGCTGCTATTAGCAGGTACCCCATCTCCACTCTCCCAACTTCGTTTGACGGGGTGGAGACGCAGAATCACGGCAACTGTTTGCGTGCGGCGACAACTCGTACTGGAATTTGAGCACGCCGCTGGACCCTGGGTCCGACCCGTCCGACAATTTCACGACCACCCCAACGTCCATGATGGACAACTTCCGAGGCCTAGGACAGTCACGCATCATGGCGATTGCGTGCACGGACTACGCGTGTTTTGCCCTCGTCGGTACGTTTGTGGTGTTGGCGTTCCATGGGCTGATCACCTGCAGACAAACCTGATGACGACGAGGACCAGAAGGATGCTGGCTTCAGGCAGCGACGCAATGACATGGTGAAGTCGCACAGCACACGCAAACGTGGTGCTGAGTCGTGGCATGGCGTCACAGGAGCTCAAAGTAACGAGGAAGCGGCCCAAGGAGAACGAACCCAAGGAAGTAAACGAGTTCAATCATGGTATGAAGTGCTGCCCGAATTGTGACGATTGTGACGACGGTCTAGTCTATTCGTGGGGCCGCGGCGACCGTGGCGTGCTGGGCCACGGCTCAACAGAGTCGCAACTCGTGCCGCGGATTATTGATGCGCTCAACTATTACAAGGTGACACAACTGGCTGCGGGACGGCAACATGTATTGGCGCTGACGGAGTCCCATGGTGTGTTCGCGTTCGGAAATGGGAGCCACGGGCAGCTTGGTGTCGGTAGGTCGCGATGGACCGTGGAGGAAAAGCGACATCATGTCGTGTTCGATCTGTTTGGAACAGGCACGACATCCGACGCGCTCGTTCCCATGCGCATTGACACATTCGATGGCATACACGTAACACATGTGGCTGCTGGAGACGAATTTTCTGCTGCGTTGACAGGTGCCGTCGTCCGACGCGTTTTCAATGATACGAACGTCCTGTAGACACGACGGGCAGCCGCCAAGTGTTTATGTGGGGCTGTGGACAGCATGGGTAACGCCACTTGAATTCCAAACCCACGACTTGATGGAAAAAATCGGCCAGCAAACTCGGCAATGGCAACACCGACGACAAGCTCAAACCCACACGAGTCCTTGCCTTGCGTGGCACGGTGCGAACAATCAAAGCGAGCGACGTCACGGGCGACAATGCCGTGCTTGAATTTGCAATAGAAAGTTCTACGGCTTGCCTGTGGAGGAGCACACACCCTCGTGGTCGCTGGTACGATGCTTGTCTGGGGGGTTTTGTCACGAAACGACGACCAGAACCAGCGGGGGTGAAAGCCACGGGGAAGACCGTCGTCATGTCGTGGGGCCATGGACTGTACGGACAACTGGGGCACCGAGACAACTGGGACGCGCGCACTCCGAAGGTGATTGACGAAATTGCGAGCGAGCGCATTGTGTTCGTGAGCGGCGGCGCTCGGCACTCCCTCGCGCTCTCTGGTACATGCACATACCATCAAGCTCGTCAAGGCCGATGAACCATAGAGTCGGGGGCTGTCTGGGCGTGGGGCCACGGCATTCACGGCCACCAACCCGGCGCCGCTGGCCAAAACAAGGACCTGACAAGCTCTGCCTTGCTTTTCCCACGCAAAGTATGTCATACCTCGGTACATTTTCTTGATCCGATTCGCCTAGGTTCATCTTCCCGATGTTCATGTCATTGGAGGTGTCGCTGGGCGAGGGCGAACTTTTGTGTGGGGTGATCGAGGTACTTTTCGCGCCACCGTCGCAGGACACATCGGTTGTCATCCCGTATAGCGACAAAAAACCCTCGGGAGCAACACAAAGTGTCGACCGCCGGCACGGACTCGCTGTCTGGTACGGCATCGCCTTTCTGTCCTTCCGTCCATCTCGCTGCATTTCCCCCGTCTAGATGACAGCTTGTGCAGCATGTCATCGGCCAGCACCGTGCTGAGTTCCAACAGTCTGCGTGTGCTGTACTCGTGTGGCACGTGCCACTTGGGGACCGTGTGCGTCGTGTGCGCGTCGCGGTGCCATGGGGGCCACTGCTTGACGTTGCGATGGACGCTGGAAAACTGCCTGTCGAGGGAATGCCAGTGTCCGTCGACGACTAAGTGCGTCGCGATGGGGAACGAGATCGATGTGAACGACTGAACGACTGGCCATCGCGACCTTCTTCGACACCGTCGACATGGGAGACGGCTGCAGTGGTTCGTTAACAGGATGTACAACGCGTTCGGTCTATGTAAAACTGAGCAACTCTCGCAGCAACTGCTCGTCTTCCTTCTTGACAAATCGCCCTTTGACGCGTAATCTCGAGTCGGCAAAGTTCTTGCGCACGTCGTACTTGACTTCTTTTCGCCACACGCGTTTCTGTCGTTTGTCGAGAAACTTTTCGACGCGCTTCCGGCGAGAGTCTGGCGAGTACGCGCCAACAAACGCAGCCTTCTTCTCCGCGTCCGAGAGCCCTCCCGCCGATGTGTTCAACGTGCCGCTGAGGAACGCCGACGCGTTCAGGCGAGCGGCACCAGGAATCCCGATCGGACGAGTCGTCGACAGGAGACCGTCCGACGGTTCAGCTTTGACCTTTACGCCATCAGCTCCCGTGCTCAACTACCGAGCATCGTCAGAAGGAGGAATGATGAAGAACGTCGAACTACCTTGGAAGACTGGTCCAAGAAATCATGCTCGGCAAAGCTAAATGAGCTTGGAGGGGTCATGCCGCCCAAGCCCATGGACGGCAGCGAGTTGGGCAGGGAATTGCCGAGGGAAGAGCCCAAGTATTCGCCTAATCAAACAGTAAGGATTGTCGCCGGGACGAGATGGAGACGAACCATCCATGAGATCTCGGTTGGAAATGTCGGCAAATGCAGAATCGAAGCCGATTTCATCCCATTCGTCGAGGGTTTGCCGTGACGTATACTGCCACGTGATGGTAAGGCACTCGATGGCATCCAAATGCCATGTCGACGTACATCTTCTTTCGGGGTGTCTCCTAAAGAGCCTACATTGAGAAACCCCAGGTCCAGATCGTCCAGCAAGTCGACAGATGACTTGCGATTCAACGCGCCACTATCCAATAGCGCTACAAATTGCCGTCGTAAGCCCATGATGCCGATGGAATTCGCAAACCTTCCAACGCTGTGGGGTCGCCTTGTTCAAACGTTTCGAGTGCTTTCTGCAGTTTTTCATCACCGCTGATGATCAAGTCCTATGTGCAGAGGACGGGCAACAGAGGTGAGCGACTTGTCACGGAGCACTGCAAGCATGGTTGCGAAAACTACCTTGAGGACGCCCTTTTGATACCGATCGATAAAGCCCTTTTCCTCCAAGTCGGACGCACTGAGGAGTCGCCCAGATATACTCCCGCTCCGGTTGCGCTTGGTCGAAGGCAATGTTAAACTTCCCGGTGAAAACGCCGGTGGGGTGTGTGTGATCATGCCCATGAGGTCGTCCGACATCCAGCCGATGCTTTCTTTGCGGGTACTCGTGGTGCCTTGCGGCTCTTTCTTGATCTGGATGCTCTCGGACACTGTCGTCGGTGCTGCTACGGTCAGCGGGATCTTCTCTGGAGGACTATCTGCCATGATGTATCTCGCGCGGCCACGTCCTCCTTCGCCACTTGGCCCTCGGCAGTAAAGCGCAGAGTTGTGTTCTTACTAAGGTTTGTGCAGCAGAACTCGAAGTTGAAAAATCGAAGTTTTCTATACAAACAACAAGTTTTTTATTCACATGAGACAGCGGGACGACGCGATCGCTGTCCCACTGGGACGCGCATGGGGAAGCCAGGTCGGTTAAACTGGGAAATTTCCCCAAGCATGAGAGATCCAATTCGAACAAACACGTCCAGGTACACGACAACGAGATCGATTCCGTTTCGCGTCCTCGCGGAAGTGGACGAAGGACATAAGTGGACTTTCATCACGCGCAGGCGCCGGCAGTGGGCGACCTTTCATAGAGACGGCAAGGGGTTGCGCTTGTCACCAGGTTGACCGTCGCCATCTTCGGGTACAGATGCGAAACATTTGGTGAATGATGGATGGCCATATGAAAAAGTTCTCGAGCGATCAAGGTGTCAAGTTCAAGGTTAATGGCGGACGATGTCTCATATGATGCAGCCGAACCCACAGGGACGACAATCTGGCAGTGCTGGGTGCTGGCTGCGCTGTCGATGCCTCCCAGGACGTCGCGGGTCCATCTCGTCCTTTCGGACTTCCCTCTCTTGTCGACGTTCCCGCCCCATATCCCGCCCTAGGACGACATCACCATGAGGGCAGGTTCGATGGTGCCCAAGAAAGGCTCGAGAGCGTGCGCCCTGTCGCTTCGAGGCACCTTCGCCCCCCCCCCAAGGAGAACCACGGTAAAAGTGCGAGCTGAACATTCCGGTGCTGCACCTCGCCCATACCACCTTCGAACTTCGTCTGCGATCGAAGTTCCTAAAGTGCCTAAAATCGAAGTTCGAAGTCAGAGCCCCTTGTCGCGCCACGATCTTCTTGGAAAGCCGATGGCAGACACGGCGTACGATGTTGTGGACGTCGAGTCCGACAAGGCGTACCGCGGCGTTAAGAAGGCGGAGCGAGTGTTGTCTAGCATTATGCTGAGCGCCTCGACGCCAACGTTGTACGTCGGAGACTCCTCAGCAAGTCTGCATGCATTCACCGTCCACAATGACAAGAACCTGCGCTTCCATCAGCAGCTCAAGAAAGTCTACCATGATAACAGCACGCTAATCCTTGACTCGTGGGGTGTATGTACAACGATTATGGAAGGCAAGTTGGCAACGTTGCCGCTTCCCCTCGACAAGGATTCTCTCGCGGCAACGTGCTTGGACGAAACGAAAGGCGCAACCCACCTTAGCGCGCACGAACCCAGCCGCGTGTTATGCTGCCTGGTGAAACAAAACCTCATGGTGTACGACTGGAGTGTGCAGGGAAAGCTGCAACTGCGCTCATCGCACGACCTGACCGTGGACAAGTCGAACGTCGCGCACTCCGTGCTTTGCCTAGGAGGAAGCCAAGCCATTGTCCAGTTCAAGAAGAAATCCATGATTGTGTTGGATCTCGACACTGGCGCTGTTCTCAATGCAAAGCTGCCAAGTGTCGACTCTACCCTCTTCGTCTCGCGCGTCCCCGGTGTACATACAAACTTAGACAACGTCCTCGTCGCCACCAAGGACCACGGGATCATCTTTGCATGGGATGTTTCTCGTCATTCGATGATGGAAGTTGGTCGATTGACATGGCCGACGTCGTCCGTACCCAAGGCCGCACCTGTGGCCCACCATCCGTTCATTCTTGTCCCGTTTGTGGACCGCGTCGACGTGTTCAATGCAGCATCCTTCCATGCGGTACAATCCATCCCCATCAAGTCCGTAAGCCAAGTCAACGTCGTGACAACGCTCGGAACTGCCGACCCCCACCGCCCGATGTTGCTATTGCTCGCCCCGCCATTTAGCATAACCCTCCTACGCATGCGACCCCTCGTCGACCAACTAAAGTACGCCATGCACACCACGCGGTTCGGAGACAATTTCGCGGCGATGGCGTTTGACTAATGGAGACGTTCGTGCCTAGATATGCCGACGCCGTTGGTCTCTGCTCGCTCTGTCCAGACGAGTGCCATCTTCCTGCAGCGGATCTCGACCAGCTACATTTGAACTTTGCTCTCCAGCTCTTCCAACTCGAAGACTATGACACTGCATTCCAGCAATTCGTTCTTGGACACACTCCATTGCACCATGTCCTGACGCTCTTTCCCGAAGAACTCCTCCCCCGTAGCTTCACCCTCGCTCCCGTCTTTCCGCAAGTGCCCGTGGTCTCGGGCAACGGGCTGACCAAAGCGTTGCGCGCGCTCCCGTCTTTCCTGACGTCCATCCGCAGCGCATTGACAGGTACGTTGCATGAATCTTGCACCTGCTCGGCTCAATCGTTACCATCTCACGGGGACACGCATGCGTAGGAGACGCCCTGGTCTTGTGCGACACAGTCCTCCTCAAAACACACGTGCTGAACAACTCGGTGGACGACTTGACAGCGTTCTCCGCGTCGTCGAATGCTGCTGATCTGGGTGAGTCGGAGCTCTTCCTTCGCGTCCACGGTCAGTGGCAGGCGCTGCTGGCTCTGTACAAGCACCACGGACTGCACCGTAAGGCACTGGATGTCCTGGACGAACTGCACACGAACGATCCAGTCGAGTACGAGCAACCGCTGGCCCAGTACCTCACCGAACTTTCCGACGCCCCCCTTGTGTTTGAGTACTCTCGACGACTGTTGACCACTCGACCCAACGCCGGCATCGCCATCTTTACCCATCGACATCACCATCATGCGACTTCCATCGACTTAGATCCGGCGTTGGTGCTCCAACATCTCAAGTCTATAGACGTCACGACGCAAGAGTCGTCGCCGATGGCAACGTCCGACTTGCCGCTCTCGAACGGCACATTTCTCGCGATTTCGTACTTGAGCCAGGTCATCTACGCGAATCAAGTCGAGCTGCCGTCGTCGCTCCATGATGAACTCGTCTACCTCCTTCTCGACGCCATCGACACCGCCCAGCGCAACAAAACTCCCAAGAAGGAAGCGTTCCACGTGCGAGTGCACCTCCAACGCGACCCCGTCCTCGGCCCTCTTCGCAAGCACCTCTTAACGTTTCTGCAGTCCCCCCTTGCCATGTACCACCCCGAGCGCCTCCTCAGTCGTATGCACGTCGACATGCTCGAAGAGCGAGCGGTGCTTTTGGCAAATATGGGTCGCCATGAAGAAGTCCTCCGGCTGTACCTCCACGAAATCCGAGACGCCGCCCTCGCCGAAACCTATTGCAACGAGTGTTATACGCACCGAATCACAGACGCATCGATCTACACGCTCTTTTTGCAGACGTACCTGCGACCACCAACGCCAGCAGTCGGTCGACTACGTTCGAGTATGTCCCTCTTGACCAGTGGCATTGGCTTGCATTTCGTCGCGGCGTTCATGCTCCGCCATGCACATTGCATCGACGTTGCGACGGCGTTGGAGCTCCTGCCACCGTCGGTAGAGGTACGACAGTTCCATCCAACGTAGGAGGTGTGTAGCTGATAGCAACTCGCATCCAGGCAGCGGCTGTCGCGGCGTATCTCGAGCGCGTTGTCGAACTGAAAGTCGAACAAAAACGACATGTCCAAGTTCAGAAGCAGTTGCTCAAGATCGAAAACCTCCATGTGCGCAGTGCCCTGAACGCAGCCAAGCAAGGCAGCGTCCGTGTCGACGTCGACTCGACCTGCGACGTGTGCGCCCGCCCGGTCGAGCGAGGTCCAGTCTTATGCCACCCCAATGGAACCTTGCTGCATTATGCATGCCAAACCAGTTCGTAGGACACACATGAATAGCATGTAAATCCAATCGAACTCAGTCATCGAGTGGACAGTCGAGATGTAGACTTACGTGGTAGCAAGTGAGCGCATGACAGCCGACCATCATCTATTTCACTGGCGTTATGCTCAATCAGCAATGTTCAAGTGAGCTAAAAGCTTGTCCAGTTTGGCTTCGATTCGGGTCAACTGGTCCGCGAACTCGCCAGACGAAGATGCTGGAGCCATGGACGCCAGTGATTGCCGCACCACGGACGCCGCTTCTGAGAGCGATGACTGCGGCACCGGACTGAGGTTGCCACTCCTTGTGCTGGGTGCGTCAGTAGATCCAGCTTTTTTCGCTGCAGCTTCGCGATTCTTTCGCATGATTTCGGCAAATCCTCCAGACGATGTTGACGATTCCGTGGGACTGGGTTGTTCGCTGGCGCGGATCGACGGCGTCCGATGAGTCGTCTTTTTCAGTCCAGCGGCTCCTTGCGCGATAGCTGCAAAGAGAGGATTGCCACCTCCGGAACTACTGGATGAGGATGATGACGAGGATGACGACGCCTTGACCGCGTCAAGAGGGGAGCTTTCTCTCGTTACTGTCTTTTTGAGTTTGGTGCCTTGGGCAATTTGCGCCAAGAGGCCGCCACGGTCACCTCCGCCACCTCCCAATGGACGAGTCAACACTGGATCGGACGACGTCGTCTTTCCCGACGACATTGCGGCCGACGATGTTGGTGCTTTGGGGCGGTCCCACTGCGTCACTTTGGTTTCTTCATTGTAGTAGTATTCCTACAGAGCACCATTGAGAGTGCTCTCGTCGGGAGGTTGGCCAACCTTGCCGTCAGCCGTCTTGTACGCCTTCCATCCTGGAGGCAGCCCCATCCTGTCTTGTTTGGATATTGGTACCATCATTCCGTGCTGTCACCAGGATCACAAATTCCAAGGCATAACCATCATTCCGTGCCTTCCTTTGGGTATACAAATGCCAAGTCATAATTGCCGGAATGTATGCGTGAGCAACCAACCCCGAAACCCCGTGGACAAAAATGAAGTTTTAGACAACTCTCTGCACGAGTCCGCCCGATTTGAACTGCCATGACCGCTTAGCCCCACTGAAAGTGGAAGGACTGTCCTCCGTGAAAGTGGTGGAACGGGTTGTGTTGGTGCTGGTCCTGCTGGTTGCCCGTCACGTCTTCGCCCCGATCGTACCGTCCGCGGGTCTCTGCCGATGTTTACCCATTCCATGAGGTTCCTCCATCCATTTGGCTCCACAGAGTTATGACCTACCTTCGTTTGACAGGATCTCGTACGCTTCGGCCACTTCCTGGAACTTCTTGTTGGCTTCCTCAGCGGCTGCCTCCTGCAAGAGATCGAGAGCGGTCACATCCATCATTGTGGTCGGCAACGACGACGTACCCCACGGTCCGCATGCTTGTCCGGGTGCCATTCGAGCGCCTTCTTCCTGTACGCTTTCTTGATCACTTGGTTGGATGCATCTCGCGGAACGTCTACAGCGTCGCCATGACTCAATCGATCCGCAGTGGAGTGCCAACCTAGGATTTTGTAGTAGTTCTTGGTCTTGCTTTGCTTGAGAGCAGCTTCGGCGCGTCGGAGGCCTTCGTGGAACTACATATCGACAGGACGAGTTACATCGAAGCAGGTGGGTGCCTTCGCTCACCGATCGATTGTTTTCGTCCAACTCGACCGCGCGGCGATGATGGCGCACGGCCTCGTCGTACTCCTCCAAGTTAATGAGGACGTCGCCGAGTTTGGCATGGACATCGGCGCTTGCTTCATGCAGGTGCAAAGACTAAACAGCAGAGAATCGGGAAGAACATCATGGAAACTCCATCGACAGGACAAAACGGCCATGGCGTCGGCAATACGTGGCATATCAACGTACTTGAGCACACGCTGCTTTTGCCTCCGAGTGTTTTTGCAGGTGGGCAAAGGCATCGCACAGCTTGAAGTTGAGTTCTATGTTCAGCGCATGGTGGGACGGATCTGTCGCCATGGCCAGCTGAAGGTCTTCTGCCGCTTCTGCAAATCTACATCGCCGCACGGAAACGCTGTTAGCATACGAGAATAACTAGCGATGGCGGGCAGCAGCGCGCACTGGTGGGTTTCGGCGGCGACGCGGGCATTCTCGATCAACTTAAGCAGTTTCTTGGTCTTTTTGTACATGGCCTTCATCACCTTGTGTTCAGGGTCGAATTGAAGCCCTTGCCGGAAATGCGACACCGCCGCTTCCAACGACTGGTTGTCGCCCAGTGAATAGTACGCTTCTCCACGGAGTTGCAGGGCCTCGAGGCTTCCAGGCTCGAGTCGCAAGACGCTGCCAGTGTCGGCAATCAAGTCGAACGTTTGCCCGAGGAAACCGCTGCACGCGACAATTTAGAATCATCGACGGTAGCACCAGATAAAGCAAGGTGGACGCGTACTTGAGCTCTGCGCGCTGTAAGAGCAGCGCCGGACTCGACACTGCGTAGTTGTCGATCGCGAGTGTGAGGGCCTGTACAGCTCTCTCGAAGCTTCCCGTCGCCTTGAAGGGGAGCAAACTTAGATCATCCACGTACGAAGCACTCACGACATGGAAAAAATACCTGAGCTTGCGCGGCAATCTCGAGTTGTTTGGCGCATTCTTGGCTCTTCACAAGGTTGTCATTGCCGCTGGCGTTGTTCGGATCCAAGCTAAAGAGAACGAATGAGCGCTGGAGAGATAGTTTCTTTGGTTGTCGTACGACATGACTTTGGTGAAATCGTGCACAGCGTCGGCGCAATTGCCAATCATGACGTTGAGCCGACCACGTTGCAAGTATCCCTGCCATGCCAGATGCACAAGTTGAGCGATGGAGACGTGGGGGCACATCGTGACGGGCTGCACCTGGGTGTACGTGGGCTTGACCGTGACCGCGGACGTGAGGTCTGCTAGTGCCGACGTGTACTTGCGATCGGCCAAGTAGGCACGGTATCGTTTGTAGTACAAGCGTTCGTTCGGGTCGACATCCAGGATTTGCGAGTAGAGTGCAATCGCCTGCAGTACGAAGAGGGTGTGCTTTGATGCAAGACGGAGCAACATCGCGATGACACACCTTTTTCATGTCCCCACTGGCAAATGCATTTTCGGCGGCGACAGTGACCTTTCCGATGTCGGCCTTGGGAAGCGCAGCTGCATCAGTCGACTAGCCACACACTCGTCATACGTGCTGCTTCACGGAGATGCATCTAGTAGTTGACACGTACCGAGACCGCTGCCGCACCGGCCACAGCCAAGTACAAGAAGCGCATGAGGTTTTCGTGAATTTGACGAACTACCACGTCACGACACCGCGGACCTGCAACTTCGAATCTTTTCGAACTTCGAACTTCGACTTCGGTTTTCCATACAGTTTTCCAGTATAAAAAGTAACGCCTTTCAGACACGTGGCCAATCGCTCGCCAAGTGACGTGGCGTGGACTGTGCGATGGCTGGAGCTCGGCAGAGTCAACATGAACACAGCAAGGTCGTCTCCATGCGCAGGAATGGAGCGCGCGGGTTTGCCGTGAACAATTACTCGAGGGTTGAAGCGAAGGTTGAAGGGATGGCCACCTGTCTGTGTACCTCATCCATGGCCAGACTCCAAAGAATGAAGGAATTCGCGGGCAACCGCGTCTCTGCGTGGACTCGAGTGAACATGAATCCACCAAGAGTCGAGCCACATTGCCTGGGACCCACAGCCTCGGATGTTTGGGGAATCAAGACACGTGTGTCGACAAAGTGACAGAGATCACGCTCATGGCAATGCACTCATCGGTGGGAACGTTGTTGCCATGTTAACATGTTGCAGTGACCATGGCCTCGCAATGAGCAAGCACGCGGGTCGAGGTGCCGTTCATGCATATGCCTTTTGTGAGGGAACACACACCAAACCCGACGTGGAGGCCAGCAAGCCATGTGCTTTTCGAGGGACCTCAGATGTCGTTCCAACTGCACATAGTCGGCTCCACAGACTCGTTGGTCGTGTGTGTTCGGAGTGTTGTGGTCATGGTCATCTCATTCATGGACGTCCGCGCACCCTTTCGCTTATTCAGATTTTCGACTCAAAGTTAATGCCAGCCAATCACGTAGCCACATCAAATATTTCAGCCAATCAGTTTGCGATAGGGGCTGGAATTCCAATTTTCGTCGGTGCTCGCGTCGTTGGCGCTCGCGGCATCCCTGTGCGCGTCCATGCCTGCCGTCCATATGAACGGTACAGGAGGCAATATGCAAAGGCAACAACATAACGAGTTGTGACACAGACGCATACGGGTCTGCGGCTGAACCGTCCCGACCGATCTGGATGCGTCACTTCGACACATCAGAGTTCAGCGACAACCAGAATCTCTTCGACACGAATGCACTACCACAGCGCAATTCTCAGCAAGGACAAGACAACTCTGCAACACAAAATGCGTCGTACGAGGGCTTCTCCATGGGGATCAAAGGTCAATCGAGAAAGACAAAGCGCACCCTGAGATGGCGAAAGATGCAGAAACCTTCCACGAATCCCACCAACCCCGAAGAAGACCCATACAGCAGAGCTACGAGCACTTCGGCTTCGAGTGCATTCGATTACCAGCACACTCCAAGCTGCATACCCAAGAATGAGACTGCCGACAATCTGTTTTCACCAAACGAACCACCACCGCCCCCACATGTCAAAATGCCTCCCACATCGCAGCCTCCTCCGGCGCCACCGTCGTTCACACCATTCGCGTTCTCCACTCCAGACAGTTCCCCAGTACCTGCACCTCCTGTAGCCTCTGTGTGGAACGAACTTCCGACGTCCTCGTTTCACATCGGAGTCCCGCCTGCTTCATCCAAAGGGCGGGGGAAGCGCCCAGACGAAATTCGACGCCGCATCCGAAAAGAGCGCTCGGCGTCGACTGAATTCCCGAATCACGAAGGGAGGGCAGCCAGCGGACGGTATGTGCTCGAAAATGGCGTTGCTCACGTTGCTCTTACAAGTCCATACGCTGCAGGGAGACAGGGCCGCTACCGTTTGACATCCCATTGCCACCGTCGCCAACAGGTCAAGACAAGAAGCGCGTCGATGACTGGGTTGATGCGTTCAACCACATCCACATCGTCGACCCACCATCCATCTCACCAAAATCGGTTCCCGCCGACCTTACTCCAAGTCCTGACGAACTTGACCGGCGCTTCTGCGCGCAGCACACGATACATCCTCCACCGATGTCCATGCATCTGTCTGTCACGCGTTGCTGGGTGTGTTTGATGGAGTTCGTGGCGGCCGTCGACCGTGTCGTGTACTGCGTCGGGTGTTCCATTGCTCGCAACATGTGCTCCTTAAATGCATGCACGCACCCGTTAGCAACGATCCGAAGAGTCGCCAAGGCTGCTTCCACTTCAGCCAAGCCAAAAGGACGTCCCCAAGCTTGTCCAGTGCCGCCGCCTCCGCCTCCACAATGGGTTGGACTCAAGAAGAAAGGCGGCGAAGCCTACAGTAATGGAGACTTTGTCTTGTCCATCGACCTGTATTCGTCAGCACTAGAAGATTTGGACAGGCAATTGCTCAAGGCGCCTTGCGCTGACCTCCGTGCTGAAAAGGCCAAAGTGCTGTCGAACCGCGCCGCAGCGTTCATGATGATCGACAAAATCCAGGAAGCTCTCCAGGATTGTGTCGCTGCCATCGACTGCGACGGTTCCTACCTTCGTGTAAGTCCCATCTCATGTTGTCTATGGTGACGTGCAGTGTCCTTATGGTGTGCGTATCGTCACCAGGCGCATCTACGACTGGCCAAGTGCCACCTCCTCGTTGGGAACACCAAAAGCGCCAGGGCAAGCTATCGCCAAGTAGACGTGATGCTGCGAGGCATGGACTACCGTCACCACCCCCATCTGCAAAACTACCACACACAGTGGCATGAAGGCCACCTTGCGACTCGATTGTTGGAATCGTTGAACCGCCAAACCAAGCGCCACGAGGATGGGAAAGATTTAAAGGCCGCCCTACGAACAACAGAAGAAGCGATGGCGATTGCGTTGGCGAGTCGAGAACTCCGCGTGCGCAAAATGAAGTTGCTGGTCCAGTTGCGGTACAGTTCCTCTTTTACTGCCCCTCAAATGTTGACTTGGCCCATGTGCAGCGCGTACGACTTGGCGGAAGACTTCTGCAACGCGCTTGTTCGAAACGGCGCGCTGTCTGGGGTTCATGCGCTCGGCATTGAAATGGCCGTGCTCTACGTACGAGCTTTGCACTACCATGATAAGGTATGCTTTGCATGGAGCTTGTCGCGATCCCTAAGCCACGATCCCGCAGACAAACGAAGCAAATGCTATTCTTCAGCAACTGCTCAAAGTGGCCCCGACCAGTGTCGACATCTTGAACGTCAAAAACTTGTGGGAAGTGATGACTGACTTGAGATCAGCTGCCAACAGCGCATTCAAGGGAGGCGACTACACAAGCGCTGTCCTGCTCTACACGAAAGCCCTGACGTTGGATGTCGATAACCACACGTACAACGCGACCATCCTGGGCAATCGCGCTGCCGCGCACATGGCACTCAAGCTGCATGCCAAAGCGATTGAAGATTGCAACTTGGCACTGGGGCACCATCCAATGTATTACAAGTACGGTTCCTGGCGCCGCGACGATGCTCCAGGAGCTCACCGTGCGGTTGGTTTTGTAGGGTGCTGCTCCGTCGGGCTCGGTGTTTCTACACGTTGAAACACTACAAGGAAAGCCTGGCCGACTTCGACGAGTACATGGCCAAGGCAGCGCTAACTCCCATCGAGCAGAAGGACATTGGTCGGGAGAGGGACCAAGTCAAGAACGACTGGGACAAGGCACGTCGCCCTCCATCGCCCAACTACAGCCAAAGTTGGGACGACTTCGACGATTTTGATACGTATCACTCGTACTCAGCGTTCGGAGGATATCGACAGCACGACAACCAGCGCAGCGACCGGTCGCGACAGAACAAGCCCAAGGTTCACAAGTCTCGTCAGCAGCAGTATGGCCACCATTCCAACTACCAACGGTCCCAATCCCACGCGAAGCCACCAACTCCGCGCTACGTTTCCCCGGGACCAACGCATTACGACGTGCTGCGGGTGACAGCCACCGCGACGCTCGACGAAATCAAGAAGTCGTATCGAAAGCTCGCCCTGATGTATCATCCAGGTACGATTCGACATCACAGTGTTTATCTGGCGGCACACTCCTTACAATTTTCCTGACCAGACAAAGCCAAATCTGTCGAAGACGGCGAACTGTTTAAGGGCATGTCTGCCGCATATGCCGTGCTGTCGGACGTGCACCTGAAAGCAGCCTACGACAAAGAGCTCCGATACGGTTCCTATTAACCCAAGGACGTGTACAATCGCGGGATATTTCATTGCGACGGGAAGGCGGAGATGGGGCGAGCAGATGGAGGAGACGGGAGGCTGCGGTAGAAGGCCAATATGGTTGGTTGGGACTTCAAGCTGCGGCGAACCCGCCGCTTCTCGCTCAGATACTGCTGAACTTCTTCCGGGCTCCATCCCGTGGACTGCAGGAGCCAGCAAAAGGCGACAGCGGCACTTCGCCCGGCGCCAGCTTTGCAATGGATGTACACTCGCGCCCCTTGGGACTTGTGGAGTTCGATGAACGCGATGGCTTGGCGGATGTCGTCTAGGGTCGGCTCCGTGTGATCCTACTCAACATGTTGGTGATCCATGAAAGGTGGTTTGGAAGAATATACTGGCGTAGGAAGGCGAAGCTGCTTGATGCCTGCTTTCTTGTACGCGTGCACAGGCCCCTCGTATTCATCGCACATATTCACTACACCTCGAACACCGCGGGATGCCATCTGCGACACATGGCCCATGAATTCCATTGGTGCTGCTCCAACAAACACATGCGAGTCAACCAGCGTATAGTAGGCAGTTCGTCGTGAGAGGTAAGTCAATGGCCATGTCGGAAAGAAGTAAACTTTGCTCACAACGCTTGCGATAGATCTTGGGAGCAGGTGCAGTTGGAACGCCACGTACACGATCCCAGCGGCCACTGACACTGCCGCCGTTGCTCGCATGAGATCGGCTGTCATGTTGACTTGCGTTCACAATGTGATCAATGTTCATGTGAAATCTCTCGATCACCTCAAAACGGCCAAATTTTCCAAAATATTGGCTAAAACCAAGGCAAAAAACGGGAAGCAGGGTGGAGTTGCGGTAACAACAATAATCTCAGTTGAGCAGTGAAGCGGGACGCACTAAGAGGCGATGGGCGTGAAGATTACCGTAGCACTCCACGTCATGGAAAGACGTGGACTCGTTTAAGTGAATAAAATGGCTGGATGAGTGTTCTGGGACTCCTCCAAGGGATCGTCTTGTGGTTCATCTTGCACACGACAGCAGTGTAACCTAAACGGATTCGACCGGGGAAGCCATCGTCGTCGGGTGGTTGAGGGTGTTGTAGAATGCCAACACACTTGCTTGCTTGAATAGCTTTCGCCGCACCCGCCGTTTGGCACACATCATCTCTTGAACGTCCTCAAGGCTCATGTTCGTCGATTTGAGCAACCAGCAAAACGCAACAGCGCCACTTCGCCCCGATCCGGCCTTGCAATGCACATACACACGAGCACCCAACTTCTTGTAGTACTCTATAAACTCGATTGCCTTGACGATATCGTCTAAAGTCGGCTCCAAGTGGTCCTAAGCAATAATGTCAACATAGTCGTCGCGGTATGTTCGACACACCACTGTTGGGATGTGTAATTGAGCAATGCCACGCTTCTTGTACGTCGCAATTGGCCCTCCATACTCGTCGCACACGTTCACAACACCACGCACACCAAGCGACACCATCTGAGAGACGTGTCCCATCCACACGATGGGGATTGCACCAAGGATCACTGTGTCGTCAATTTCTGTGTAGTAGTTGGACCTGCGCGCGAGGTACGTGAACGGCCACATGGGAAAGATGAACAACTTTCCGGCAATGCTCGCGAGCGGCCGTGGCAACAAATGTAGTTGGAACGCGACGTATACGACTGCGAGGGCCGCGACAACGACGGCGGCGCCCAGCGCCATGTTGGCGAGGGTTTCCAACATCTTTCCGTCAATGGCGCCGTTTCATTGGCCAGACATACGAACACGCTTTGATTGGCCAAAAAAGGATCGATGGAATTTCTTTTTCGGTCCTGAGCCAGGGCGCTACCTGGTAAGTGTAATACAGGCTCTGCGCCCTAGTTCCCGTGCGACGGTAGAATTTGCACTGAATAAGTAGTTCGACTGACGATCTCCCCGTGGGGTGCGGTCGATGGTAATGCCTGCCCAGCCTTCGAATCCTCTTGTAGGCCATGCTGGAGAAACGAATGGCCGGACAACACGCGAGGACTACCCACAAAGAATGCTTCAACCGCGCCGAAGCATCAGCCCCGAACAATGCAGTCAGGGCAAAGCTTGCCCACTGCATTCATCACACTACAGTCTATCTTGAGTGTCTTGGATCGACGGTCGAACCACCTGGCTCGCGTCATGTCTATACAACGCCTCCCTGCTGGAGGTGGGACTCGGGGGCTGGCCGGGATGGAATGAAAAATTGTCCTCTTCCCGGTGAAGTGTTGAATATCCGTATGTATCCGGATGATTCGAGTGTATGTTGCACAGGGTCGGGTTCTTGATTGGCTCAAATCGTTCCCTTACTTTCGTCGAAGCCAATGATATGGTACCATCTATTGCAAACCAGGACCCAGGTGCATGTCGGTGCATTCGCACACTTGCCTTCGCGCCACCTGTCGTTGACGGCCGTGAACTGGTGGTTTTGGCATCAAATGCATGCGGAGGACTGGCTGGCATGCGCGGAAGAGCCAACGGCGTATCGGGTGGTGACATCCGTGTTGTGCAATGTCGCGTATCAAGGCAATTCGCGCGTGGGACGACGCCCGACTCGACGGCTGGCAGCTCTTGGACAGGCCGTGATCTTCTTCAGTTCAGGCCGTTGACGAAGGTCGCGGACAGGATTGTCCACCGAAAGCAGAGCGCATTTGCTCGCAGAATCGAGTTTGGCAGCCCACTCAACCGAACTGCTGGTATCGTCAAACGAAGTCACGCCGTTGTAACAGCGTTAGCACCGCGACAAAACGTATTGAGAAAAAAGATTACAATACATTTTTCCATCAAGCAGCGGAAACAACCGTCGGAAATGACGGGTGTAATGCGTGAGTCATATCGTCCGTCCCCTCGGCCAATCTACCATTTCCCTATTCGACTGCCGAAACACGACGATGGCGAAGCGCGTGACTTGGTCGACGACAACCGTCCACGAGTTCCATCTAGGTCACAACGCGTGCTCCGTCCCGAGCACTGGCGGCCCATCGGTAGGCCTTGTCGGTGCCGCAATCGTGACCCGCACTGCCCCGGTTGACGACAGACTCACCGCTACCCCTCGCTCGCACACCGAACAACTTTTGCCGCCCATGCGCCGAATTGAACTCCTTCGCGACGCGGGCTACACCGTCGACGAAATCGCAGTGTTTTGCATCGCAACCAACCAGAGCCGAACTGAACGACATGAAACTGAACAGGAGTACATGGCGTTGATCCGTCAACGCCAGTACGAGACGTATCTTGTCAAGCAACAGATCATGGCCATGGAAATGGAGCGACAGCGACAGCTCTACCTGCGCAAGCACTACCAAATGCACACGTTGCCACCGCAGAAGGCTCTTTGTAGCCTGTCGTCGAGCGACTACGTGAGACAGTCGAGTTATCGGTACGCCACCTCGTCTGGTGCCGGTGATGTCCAAGTGCTGGACAACAAGCGCCGACGGCTCTCAGTCGATGCTCTGTTAAATTAGTCTGGAGAATAATCCTATTTATACCTTGGAACTCATGCCAGCCAACCTTGTCCTGAACTTGTACAAGAAGACATGTTTCCTCCAGCCCTATGGCCTACCAACCACTCTGCTGCACACCCAACCCGCGCCACCACCTTCCCAAACGAAGGGACCGCCAGGTTTCGGTCCATGCTGTCTCACTTCTTGGAGGCGCCGACCACAAGGAAAGCGCCGACTGGTCCGTGAAGCATCCATCCGGTTAAACCTGTATATTTGGATATATCGGTATCCGTTTTTATTGACCCCTCCACCAATCGTTTGGATCGGTGGCCGAGGTTCATGTGCATTTGCCCGCGGCGATGAAGTCGTATCTGCGGTACACGGCCGAGAGTGCCTTCGGCGTTGTGTGCAGTCCAAGCTCACGATGCGTGTACGACTTGACGGGCCAACTAGCCATCTGCGGTGCACTCAAGAACGTTATTGTGTGGAACATCCGCACCGGCGCCAAGGTCCGCGTCTTGCACGGTGACACAGAGACGGACATGGCCGGACAGGTCACGACGCTGTGTCTGAGCCCCGATGGCGCGTACGTTGCGACGGGGTATTCCACAGGCATTGTGCGGATCTTCAAACTCAGCAACGGAAACGTCGAGGTCACGTTGGACGGACACAAAAACGCTATCGAGAGCTTGGCGTACGGCGAAAACGGCGCACTCTTGGCGTCTGGGTCCCGCGACACTGACATCATTGTGTGGGACATCGTGTCTCAGTCTGGTCTCTACCGACTCCGCGGCCACAAGGATGCCGTCACCGCGGTTGCCTTCTTGGACAACCAGCGCGCCTTGGTGTCCACGTCCAAGGACACGCTCATGAAGGTGTGGGACCTGGACACCCAGCATTGCGTCCAGACGTGTGTAGGCCATCGCAACGAAATCTGGTCCCTCGACACCCACGCACCCACGCACCGTCTCCTCACTGGCGCCTCGGACAACCTACTTCGCGTGTGGGACACGACGGATGCGACGGCGCTGCAACTCCTCGGGACGATTCCGCGCCAAGCAAATGACCGCGCCATGCTCGTTCAGTACAATGCGTCGGGCACACTTATTGGTGTACAAGGATCGGGAAAGACACTCGAACTTTTCCGCATTCGGTCTGCTGAGGAGCAAAAGAAGAAGGCACAGCGCAAGCTGAAGCGCGTCCGTGAGAAGGCCCGCAAGCAGCAGCAGGATGGCACGACCATGGCGCACAAACCAGACGATGGAGACATTCTAGACGATGGGGAGGCCGCCAACAACTCGATTGCGAACGAAGTCGAGTCGGTTTGTGTCATCCGATGCAGCGCGAAGATCCGATCGTTTGCCTTCAGCCCAGACGCAGCCAAGGACGGCACGACATCGATCTTGGTCACGTTGCACAACAACTCACTGGAAACGTACCAGATCGTGCCGCACGCCGAAACAATCGATGGGCGGTTTTCCAGGGTCCATGCGTTGACGCTGCCCGGCCACCGGTCCGATGTCCGTCAGGTCACGCTGAGCTCGGACGACTCGCTCATCTTGAGTGTCTCAAGCGGCGAAGTCAAGGTCTGGAATTCGCAATCGCTGCAGTGCGTCCGCACGTTCACGGACTTTTCGCTGGCGCTGTCCGCAGTGTTTGCCCCCGGCAACATGCACGTGATTGTCGGCACCAAAGGCGGCAGTTTGCACTTGTTTGAACTCTCGTCTGGCGAGTGCATTTGGAAAAAGGACGATGCGCACGCGGCGGGGTCGGCCATTTGGTCGATCGATGTCCGCCCGGATGGGAAGGCGGTCGCGACGGGCGGCGCCGACCACGTCGTCAACTTTTGGGATTTTGAAATGACGACCGAGTACACACAAACGTCGACGCTTAAGCTTGGGTTGGTGCATGCTCGCATGCTCAAGATGGCGGACGATGTGCTGTGCGTCAAGTATTCGCATGCGACCGACCCCCGCAAGGTTCTCGTGGCCGTCGCGCTGCTGGATTGCACGGTCAAGGTGTTCTACGACGACTCGCTCAAATTCTTCTTGTCGCTTTACGGCCACAAATTGCCTGTCATGGCGATGGACATTGCGACCGACGACTCGTTGCTTGTGACCGCATCGGCCGACAAGAACGTCAAGCTGTGGGGTCTAGACTTTGGCGATTGCCACAAGAGCATCTTTGCGCACGACGAAGCGATCATGGGGATTGCGTTCGTGCCACGCACGCACTACTTCTTCACAGCGTCCAAGGACAAATCGATTGCGTACTGGGACGGCGATCACTTTGAGCGCATTCTGAAATTGTCGGATCAGCATTTCGGCGAAGTGTGGGCGGTCGCAGTGAGCCGCGACGGCAGCTTTGTCGTGTCGGCGTCGCAGGATCGATCGTTGGTCAAGTACACTCGCGGCGACGATCAAGTGTTTGTCGAAGAAGAAAAGGAAAAGGAACTCGATGCGATGTTTGAGAGCGACCTCCAGCCGACCAACACGGCGGCCCCAACGCTGGGTGGGACCAACGTGAAGGAGATGGACTCGTCGACCACTGCCGCCAAGCGCACTGTCCAAACGGTCAAGTCGGGCGAGCGGCTCATCGAAGCCATCGACATTGCCGATCGAGAGATCCTCGCCCAGAAAAACAGCTCGAACCCGGACGTTGTGTCGACGAACTTTATGCTGCTCGGGTATGCGCCGCTCAAGTTTGTCCTCCGCAGCGTGCGTGAGATTCGCGCAAATGAGATGGAGGAAGCCCTCATGGTGCTCCCGTTCGAGTACGTGAAGAAGCTGCTGTCGTATCTGCTGCAACTCATCGCGGCCGAAATGGAAGTCGAGATCTGCTGCAACTGCATTCTGTTCCTCTTGCGGGTGCACCACCATCAGATCGTGACCAATACGATTCTCCTGGGCGAACTCGACACGATGTGGGGGTCCCTGCGCGCGCAGCTCGTCTCGTCCAAGAACCGCATCGGATTCAACTTGGCCGGGATGAAATATATCAAGCGGCAGGTTGACCAGACCAAGACGGGGTACATCGAGGAACTTGGCGCGGCACCTGCCACCAAGAAGACCAAAAAGCAGAGTGTGTAGCAATAACTAACGTAAGAACGAAATCAACTCATGACGACCTGTGGACACGACCACGAGAGCCTGGCGGGCAGGCTGTGCCATCAAAGGGCCTCGCTGGTCGGTGTGGTCGGGACTTCTGCAGCTTCTCCTGACATGCTCGGGCCGCCAAACTTGGCGGATGTCGCAAGATCGATATTGCACTTTGTTGCGGCCATTCTGGGGAATGTTCATGCAGGTGTGTCTCGTTGTCGTGGGAAACCCGCCGCGACGTCCAGCCGTTCGTGGGGAATTGGCACGCGCCTCCAACGGGATGGCCACCGGGTGCGGGTAGCTACCCAATTTGCAACTTGTCCGTGTCGACAAGTTGGTGTTCGCTTGCTCTTGGCCCCCAGGAACTCGCAGCGTACATGGTCAAGACGGGCGGACAAGATGAAGCGTGGGAGGCACAACGTTTCCATTCATGGTCACCATTTGCACAAAGCTAGTAGTTAGGACTCCGCAAGACGACGAAGCGGACGAGGCCTCGCCGTAGACGCTGTCGTTGACAAGGCACGCGCGCACTCGCTTTGGGAGCTGCCACTCGGTACAACCACACAGCGGTCTTGACTTGGTCGCGTTGCAACGCAACCCAACAATCGCACAGGACAACGCAGTGTCACAAGAATACGACGAGCGCCGCATGGTTTGACATCGTGGAGAGTATAGGCGGTGCGACGAGCAGTTGAGTCGATAGACAATGGCATTCCCGTGGACGCCATGGCGTGTGCCTTGCTGCCGCACAAACTGGCGCGGTTGTTCGACACGGTGCGCGGTTTGCTCTACGAGGCAGCCTATATACTCTTGAAGGCCACCACCGATAGATCCTCTTCAGTACAGCCAGGATCCCGCAGCGCAATGGTCAGTGTCCCTCGACCGGCCAAGTTCGGCATGGCCTTTCCACGAGAGCCGAGAATACGCCCCATGTACTTGCTGAGCCGGTGCTCGTAGTCTTGAAAGGCATGCTACCATGTAGCCCTCGGAGGTGCCATCGGTGGTCTCAACGCTTGACTGGTGCGAGATGTGCAAGCTCCTCGTTTACCACTGCACTGGCGACCGCCCACTTTCCACGCATCCGACGCCCTCCAGCTTCCCGCCACAATGGCGTATCGATAGTTGACACAAATACATGGCAGACTCTAGCAAATTAATCTAGCTCTATTGCGATGCGGTCGCAGCCCCCCATTCTAGTACTGATGCTCGAGCAGCCCGTCGTACTCCATGGTCAACGATGGCCACCCCACCTCCATGTCCATGACGGAAGTAGGCGACAGTGCCAGATCCATGAGTTCTCCGTCACTACTTTTCCCGCGGTCCACGCCAGAAAACGCAACTTGTACCTGGGGCGGGAGCATCAGTGCCGCCGCCGCATCGAATGCAACGAACGGATCGTCATCCAACTCGTAGTCCAACGGGTCCGGCATCCAACATGCTGCATCCGTGGTGTCCATCAAGTCCAATGAATGGCTACTGTCGTCCCGCACGTCCATGGCGAACTCTGTAAAGTCGAGCTCCCCGCCAGTCGCCGTCTTGGTAAACAGGTCGCCACCCGTCAAATCCACACTCAGGTTGCGGGATCGAGTGGCCAACGATTGTTGCAGGTCGAGGAGGGTGGCATTCGTTGACTTCGCGGCAGGATCGTTGGGAGTGGCAATCCATGGAGCTGGCTGCATGAAAGACTGTGGTAGCGACGACGCTGCTTTGGCAGGGGCTTGTGTACATGCATGGACTTGGGGATCGCATGTGCCAGCCAAGGTCAAGGCAGAAGGTTGCGTCAAGGGTGATTGTTGCACGAGTTCTCGTTGCAGGACGATGGCTTTGGGACGTGCATGAACTGGCGCGACGAAAGTTCGACTAGGATGCTTGAATGCCAGCGGCGACACAGGTCGCTTGACGGTCATCACGATGTTGGCGGCAGATGACGCGACCGACGGCTTTGTTTTCTTGGGTTGCTTGTTGCGTTTTCGCTTCCTAGTTCCGTTCGTTTGGTGTTCGAGTCGCTCCCTTTCTTCCCGAGCCCAGCTCTCGCAGAAAGCAGCGTGCAGTACGTCGAGCTCTGCAGCGCGATGTGCTTTGTCGCGGTCTGTCATGTCCGTGATCCGGGCGTCGTTGCGCTCAAACATGCGCTTGCCAATGCTGTGTTCGCCCACAAACTTTTTGGAGATGCGCATGGGGCAGCAACGCAGTTTGGCACTGAGCCACGACCGCATTGTCGTACCATTGTCGACATCGGTCAACAGTCCCGCGGTGAAGTCAGCGATGAGTCGGGCCGTGTACGCTTCTTCCTCTTTCGTCCACTTGCCCCAACGCGGCTTGTCTGTGGTCCCGCCGACACAAATCACAGTGGCTGGTCTCTTCTCGTGTGTCATGGGAGCGCGGCACATTTCGTTTTGATGCTTACTTGCCGTCGCTGCTGCCATGGGGCCGGACATTTCGAAAATGTCATGTCAAGGTTTTTGCCAATTCGAACCCCACCGTGCTACTCTCGCCTGGCGTGCCCGTCTGAGCCGGCGTTCGATATATTGGCCTACGCGGCCTTCCTTAGGCGGCTCGTTCTTGCAACGTCTCCCATGTCGGTGCATGTTCGAAGGGTTGTGTGTGGGCAGAAGAGCGGCGTCGATCGGAGTCACATCCCGCGCACAATATCTTGCGCCGGTGGAAACATGGCCCAAAGTGGATTCGCGTTCCATGGATCGCGAGAACACGCGTTGTCAAATATTTCAATATATCACCCTTACAAAAACCAAGATATTTTTTGGAATTTCGTGTGGAAAAAATGTATCACCGACGAGACATTGGGGGTGACAGACGAAGCGACCGATACATCGCAGGTCGATCGTCGAAAGGCAGCTCATCCCCTCTTTGTGCATTCAGTGGGTCTGGCTAATACCAACGGCTTGCTTCCGAGTCAGCAGTGTTGCAAGGCGCTGCTCTTTGTTGAGCGAACAACCGCGTGGTCGTCTCGTTCGTTGGCCATTCGTATCATCCACAGTGAGGTGTGTGGGGCAGTCACCCGCGAGGAGTTTCCACGGTGAGTGGAGCCTCGTCCACCACCGCTGGTTCACGTAAAAAATATCGGCAGACGTAACGCGAGATCGCATCGCCTCGGGAATCCATGCCTCTGACGAGGATATGGCATGCAACCACCGAAACGTGGTTGCATACCGAAATGTCACCATTTTCAAATGTCAACCTTCCACGCGGACACATGTGGCAGTTGGCTGGGAGGTGTCGGGCCACCAGCATACGCGATGCAACACCGCCGCTACAGGAAGCCGCGGAGGACGCATGGGCTGTAGCTGCACCCACCACTTCATACGAGCGGGGACTGGCAAGCGCGGAGAGACGGACTTTGAGCATTCATTGAGGTTATGGATAGAAACATGCACGCTACCGCTTCAAGTGACACACAAACTTGAGCGTAAGGAAGATCGCGACTTGAATGCAGCACCATTCCAAGACGAGGACGCCCAGGCTCGTGTACTGCTGGCTCGCATCAAACCCAAAGTTGGTCAAGATGTAGTCGTGAATGGTCGTCGTGTTGCCAGTTGGGAGGGTGATGGCTTGACACCCTTCGCCCTTTCCGGACGCAGGGCAGTCGGCGAGTTCGCACCCGATGAGCACGTTCAGCGCGTAGCTGGACGGCATGATCCACGTAACCCATCGGTACCCCCATTTCATGTCGATGAAGGGCAGAAGGAACCCACTAAAGAGATTGAGGAGGCACGAGATGGCGCCGACCGCAACGTTGGCGACTTTCGAGTTGGGCAGAAGCACAGACATCCACTGGCCGAGGAACGTGCACAGCGAAATGTACAGGAAAAACGTGAACCAAAAGAAGAAGAATCGGCCCGCGTCGTCGTACCACCCGACCATCCAGTACTCGACCGTGATGAAGAACCCGCTGATGAGGACTAGGTACGGAAACTCGGCCACAAACAGCGACACGCTGAACGGGAACACGCTGTAGTAGTTGGACATGCGCTCGCGGTAGTACACGGCGCGCTCCGAGCACGTGATGTCGAGGACAGTCATCATATTGATCACCCCGATAAAGTCCATGCTGTTGTAGATCAGCGCCACGTGCGAGTTCACTTTGGACACGGACGTGATCTCGAGCTGGAAGAACGTGCTGCCAAAGATGAGCGCAAAGATGGGAAACAAAACGATCCGAACAAAGTTGTAGGCGGGACTGCGCCAGTACGTCCGCGACGACTTGAGCACGAGCCACCGGAGCTGGTTGGTCATGCTCGTGGCTATGGGGTCGAATTCGAGCGTTGAGAACCGCACCATGGCGTCCGACGGCTCCGACAGCCTCGTCGCTTCCTTGTTGTTTTTCACACGCAGCGCGCTGTTCGCGTACTCGTCGGCGTAGTTCTTGATGTCCTTGCGCCCGATGCCGGCCCCGATCACCTCGAGCATGTACGTGGCAGGGTTGTACAGTGGCTTGATCTTTTCTGTGCCGGGAATGTGCTGAAAGTACTCGAGCATGTGCTGGCTATCGTGGCCCAACTCGCCAAAGTAGGCGACTCGGCCGCCCTTTTGCAGGAGCAGCAACGAGTCAAAGAGCTCGAAGATTTGAATGCTCGGCTGGTGGATCGTGCACACGACCGTGCGACCGGTGCGCGCAATCGACTGCACCCCGCGCATCACGACCTGGGCCGACCGCGCGTCCAGCCCGGACGTTGGCTCGTCCAAAAACAAGATGCTCGGGTTTGCAACGACTTCGACGCCGATCGTCACGCGCTTCTTTTGTTCCACGCTCAAGTGCAAAATGAGCTCGTGCGCGATCGTGTGGAGCTCCAAGAGGTGCAGAGTTTCGTCGACAAGGCCGAGCTTGGCTTGGTCCGAGATCGACTCGGGCAGGCGGAGGAAGGTCGAGAAGAGGAGGGCTTCCCGGATCGTGGCCCGCTCCGAGTGGATGTCCATTTGCTCGCAGTACGCCGCGATACGACTAAAGATCGTCGGGTCCTTGAGCTCTCCGTTAATGTGAATGTCTCCGACGATCCGCCCGCCCGTTTTCCGGCCCGCTATCACATCCATGAACGTTGTCTTGCCCGCGCCACTGGACCCCATCAACGCCGTCATGGTGCCGGGTTCGAAGAACGCCGTCACTTGATGAAGGAGCTGGCGCTCTTCGCCTGTCGACAGTGTTACGAAGTAGTCCAAGTTCTGGACGGTCAGGAAGGCCGGGATGAACTGGAGCTCGTTCGACACGACGTCCGTGGTGTTGTTGGTGGGCGGACCGACCTGCACTTCGACGTGCGGTGCCAGCGACGCCGCGACGGCGACGGTCTCGGTGCCGTCGATCGGAACATTTTTCACGCCCATGTGCACTTCAAACCGAATGTAGTGCAGCGCGACCGTGTTCAGGCCTGTAAAGACAAAGAAGTACCCGAGGAGGACGAGAATTCCAATCCAGACAAACTCGGGGCCCTGGCGCACTTGGAATTGGTTCAGGATCCGGGACCGGTCGAGGTCCGTATACGACGACGACGTGAACTCGTTGAGCATGACGCTGCGCAGCGCCCACGCGATGGGGTTGGCCCAGTACATCCATCGCCAGTAGGACGGGATCAAGTCGGACAAGATAATGTTGCCGGAGAAGAGCAGGAAAAACGACACCGAGATGCCGGCCGCCGCCTGTGCCACCGTGATGCTTGGGCTCAACGAGCTCAGGAGGGTAAAGTAGGCGCCGATCGTGTGCTGGAACACGACCAGGATCGCGAGGAACACAAAGAACGTGCTTGTCTCGGGCGTGAGCCCGCTCATGAAGTAGAAAATCGTGCCCATGACGGTGCTCACGGCCAGATTCATGGGGATTTGGACGATCGAGTCGGCAATCACGTACGAGATGGTGCGGAAAAAGTTGCGCGACCGCTGCTTGTAAAACACATTCCGGAGCGAAAACGAAATGGTGATGCGCTGCCACGCCTGGCGCTGAAAGATCGCAATCGAGAAAAAGCACATGCGGAGGTAGAGCGACTTTTTGCAGTTGAGATAGATGACGCCGAGCAAGAGACCGACCACGAGCGCCTCCGTCATCTTGCCGTACAAGAGCGGCTTGTCTCGTACAAACAGCATCTTTTGTCGCTGAAGCAGCAGCAGCGTGCTTTCGACAAACCCCATCCCAAACACTTGGGTCTTCCGCGCGATGTACGAGATGCGCTTGATCGTGGCGACGTCGTGGATCGTGCTGCCTTGGCACAGCTGGTCCTGGACGGTGGCGTGGATGTCGCTGCATTTGAACGCATGCCCAAATTCCTCGGGCTTAACCAGACATGGAGATGGGGCATCTACAGCGAGCACCCGTTGGAATCACGGCATCACACTCGCGGCCATACCGTCGGGATAAAACTTGGCCCCTCGGCCAGATACAACTTCGATCAAAAAGTCGGACGGGTCCGTGCGAGGGGGGCATGTAAAGCCCAGGCTTTGAAAGTACGGCAGCGTGAACTTGCGAGGTCCGTGGTACACGAGGTGGCCGGCGCTTAGCATCATGATGTCGTCAAAGAGCTCGACGACCTCGGGCGGCGGCTGCAGGAGAGCCACGATGCAGCTGCCACCCAGCGTCTTGGTCCATGATCGAAGGGAATTTACAATGTCGAACGTGGCGGCCGAGTCCAGTCCCGTGCTAATTTCGTCGCACAAAAAGATGCTCTGCCCCCCCACGAGCATTTCCCCAACAGTCACTCGCTTGCGCTCGCCGCCGCTGACCCCTCGAAGCAGCGCGTCGCCCACGACCTACCGACCAACCATCAACTCGGACACACGCTTGGCTCCATGCCATCGTACCGTGTCCGCGCAATTGCTCAATCCAAGGACATGCAGCACCAACTCGGACCGCAAGTTCGCCACGTCAACGAGCTTTCCAGGTCGTTCCTTCTTCTTGGGAGGGCCATTCAAGCACATGTCGGCGAACTTGAAAGTCTCCCGCACGGTCAGCGTCGCGCAGTGGTTGTCGCGCTGGTCCACGAGACTCACCAACTTGGACAAGTCAATGTTGTTGGGCGAGAGACCGCTGTACGAGATTTCTCCGTCCAGCGTCGTCACGTTGGATTTCGTGCGGAGTTTGCCCGCGAGCGCTTTGAGGAACGTCGACTTGCCGGCACCGGGGTTGGCCAGGAGCTACAGCAGAGCGTGAGATGCACGATTCAAGGCTTGTGGTATCGCCTCACCAAGGTCATGCTACCGGGGGGAATGATGCCTGTCATGGGGTGCAGCACGTAGTTGTCGGCGGTGGGACGTTTGACACACGGGAGGAGGAGTCGCTTGAGGTAGGCTCCGACTGTGGCGTCCACTTGGTTGGACCGCTTCACCTCGACGCGCGCCGTGAACGACAAGTCCTTGAATCGAATCTCCGGCGTCTGGAGCTGCAAGTTCATCGAAGTCGAGAGTTTCTTGTACTTTTCAAAGAATTTGCGCAGACCGCCACTCAACATCGTGTCCAGGCTCGCCGCGTTGAGCGTGCTCACCATGGGGTTCTGCTGCTGGTCGTTGTACGGATCTTGGATCCCCTTGAATCGCAGCTCGCTGTACACTCGGGGGATCGCGGGCGGCGGTAGCATGGTCGCCCGCCTAAATTCGGTGCGGCGGTCGAGATGATTTTCAGTGTCTTCCGGAATCACGGCACTGGTCGGAAAGATCGAGGCAATCGATGGTGGGGACACGACTGGCGCCACCTCTGTGCACTCCATGTCGAGCTCAATTCGTTCCGACGAAACATCGTCGGTGGCAGAAGGCGCTCCCACCACGTCGGACATCCCAGTCAAGTTTTGAAGTGGGGCGTGGGGTTTCGGGAGTTTCGCGCAAGGCCAATCTAATTTTGTTCCATACTCCGCGGAAAGAGAGATGGCGCTCAAGCTTGGCCGAGCTATTTCCAGCGCAGTCGACTCTCGGGCGCCTACGTTAGCAAGTGCGAAAGTGTTACGACGACATCTCAAAGTGAATATGGCGGCCATGTTGCATGGCTCGAGGGACTTTTGACCGTGGTTTCGCATCGGAGGATGTATGATGCGACAGGTCATGCATGCACCACATTGGATGTCCCTCCCACGGCGCTTCCACGAGCTCGGAAGCAAGGAATACATGTTGGAACTTTAGCTAGTCCAGTATGGACACGTACACATGCCGACCGCCCGTGCGATGCACAGATCCGTCGAGCAAGGTCGAAGAGGACATGCATGATGCGATTCGAGTGGACGGCAAAGGCTGCATGCTACTCACTCTTCGTCTTCGGCGCCGTCGGACTCTTGGATTTGGTTCATTTCGGGGTCGAACGTGACGGGTTTCCCGTGCGAGACAAGCCGTCCGGTGAGTTCGTTTTCTTCGCCGCTGCCTTTGGCACGAAGAAAGAGCGGCGAGTTCTCCAAGATGGGGCCGGCGATGCTGAGAAACGTCGTAAGGATCTCTTCGTCGTCTGGCGTGAAGATGCCGTCGGTCTTGTTGATCAGTTGCATGACGCCAATGACGTCGTGCTTGTGGCTGTGCAGCGGCAACGCGAGAATGGTCGACGTCTTGTACCCGAGTTTTTGGTCGTACTCCTACGACTCGCATCAGACGTCGGCGCGAAAACGCCACGCACCTTGTTGAAGCGCGCATCCTCGTACGCATTCTTGAGGTTGATGAGCTTGCCGGTCTCCGCGACCGCGCCGCAGATGCCTTGGTTGGACGGGATGCGAATATCCACTTCGCCCTGAAGCGTCCACAACTCGTTCGTGACTTTGTCGAGCAGGTACAGCGAGCAACGGTCCGACCCGACGAGGCGCTGGATGCGATGGGTCACCGTAAAGATTAACGAGTTGATGCCCAAGTCGCTGTGCATGGCCTTGACAATGTCGAGCACCTCGGTGACCTTTTTCTGGGCCTGGAGCGCCATCTTGTGGTTTTGTGCGTTTTGAAGGGCAATACCAGCCTGCGCCGCCAAGATCGTCATCACTTCCTCGTCCA